CCTTGACTTAGAAGTAATGCAACCATTTCTTCGTGACCCTCGCGTGCCGCTTCCATCAACGGAGTATAACCTTCGTCATTTACTTCCTCGATGTTTGCTCCTCTCTCAATCAGAAGCATAGCAAGATCAACGTGACCTCCACAAGCAGCCAATGTTAATGGAGATTCAAAACTGTCTGTTGGCATATTAACCTGCGCGCCCGAATCTAAAAGTAAACGAGCAACTTCCACATGACCATCCATCGATGCTTCCATAAGGGCAGTGTGCATTTCATCAGTTTTGTGCTCCTATAAAATGCAACATTTTAGTTTATCCTTGAATAAAACATCCATTCCAAGAAATGAAATTAATCATGTTTGAAAGGATACCTGGTCTGCACCAGCTTCTAACAGAAAGCGAACCATTTCAAAATGTCCTTTATAGCAAGCCAGTGTTAACGCAGATTCTTTAAATTCATTGGAATGGGTATTAATTCCAGCGCCATGTTCTAGTAAGATCTTGGCTATTGGAACATGTCCAGAACTGGCTGCTTCCATTAATGGTGTATGACCATTCTCATTGTGATCTTCCACATTCGCACCTGCTTCTAACAATATTCGCACAATCTCTTCATGACCACCCGAACAAGCATACATAAGTGGTGTATTACCTAAAGATATGAAAAATTACTTAGATTCTAGACATTAAGTAATACGAGTATAAAAAAAACTTTATAACGTAAGCATCACGCAACCACCATTATTGTTAATGCTGTATTATTCTTATGAATACCACAAGTTGAATTTCATACCTGAAGCAGATTGAGCATTAACATCAGCTCCATGAGCGATAAGCAAGCTTACAACATCTACATGCCCTGCAGTGATAGCCTCCATTAAAGGGGTACAATCTCCCTTTATGCCACGGTCTTCTACGTTTGCATTCATTGCCAAAAGTACCTGTTTGTATAACAAATTACTCGTAAAATAAAATAATATTGTCACTAATAAAACTGTTAAAAATTTCATTGCATTCATCGTGATGTATACAACTAAGAAAAGTTACACATTTCACTTTTTCTTTATGAAACAAAAGAATGTGAACTAATGTAACTATATTTGATAAATATAAAACTCCATGCAGATAAATTATATAAAATTTCTACAAGTATTTTAACCGATCCAAATATTTCTTGTGCCGAATATCAAAATAATTCCCAGTGTTCCTTTGTTCTTGCTCAAACTAGTATATAAATAACAGAATGTAAAGTCTCGATCTATTATTTAGTGACATTGGTAACAACTATTAACTATCTGCAGAAAATATTTTTGAAATACGTAACAACCATACTGCATATTTACTATATCTTACACAAATCATGTATCCTATGGGCAATAACTCATGTAGAATAGAATGGCATGGCATACAATGTTGTATACATGTTTTTGTACTTTTCTATAAGTATTCAAAATGCAAACAAAATATGAGATAAAGTTCAAACCTGAGCAAGTTCGTAGTAACCAGCCGAGCAGGCGAGAGAGAGCAAACTCTCTCCCTCCTCTGTAGTCTCGTGAACACTGCGTCCTTCCGTTAGTAATTTCCTAACAGTACCAACGTCGCCATCGGTGCAAGCCTCTACAAGAGAGCGTTTTTCGCTTTGTGTGCGTGGATTATCGCTGCGCATACGAGTTAATGCAGCTGCTGCTTCATCTAATGCACAAGAAACACTAGATGTTAAGCGACGGAGCACTTCGTGATCAGCCAAGTGCTTCCCATCGCCTGACGACAACTTGCCGATACCAGCTGCTTCCAGCAAAGCTTCTAACCGTGCCTGAGTTTCAGGATCCACGGATCTCTCTGGATCTTCAGGAGTCAATAGAAACTTGGACGATTCTAAATGATGACCTTCGTCTAATTCGACCTGATCAATTGCAAAACACCCCACCTATAAATAACAAAGTAACATTTTTCCCGATAAGATTAAATTCTGTACATGAATTTAATACACAGTTAAAATTTAAACATATATTATCTCAGTATACTCATAATGTTTAACGCAATAATTACTTAAATCTATAAATAAAAACAGTAACATTGTACGGTGACAAGGGTATTGTTTATTTATATATTTAAAAATATACGCTATAGAAATCGCCAATAATTGCTTTTCTCTCAATTTTTTCATATAAAATTATGATCATACTGATATTTCATATGGGTAATATAGTTTTATTGTTTCAGAAATTCTCTGTAATCTAACATTGTTTCTTACGAATGCAGAAATACACATAAATATTGTAAATGATAATTAAAAAATTGCTGAATCGTTTTATATATTTCTTAAATATTATAAGAAATAGCTGTACTTGATTTATATAAATAAAACAATTCTTGTAAGATAAAAAAAAATTTGTTATAAAGGCTTGACACAGAAAAGCGAGCATTTTACCAAATTGAGGTTATTTCTATTCGAGAAAAATATTGTAAACATGCAACGGAAAATAATATTGCTAGAAATGATATTAATTATTATTAAGGAAACACTATTAATCGGATATTGCGAAACGAATAAAGAATTGAAATTAAATAATGGTTAGACGAAATATGATTTTGGACAAAGTAATATAGAGAAGCAAAGCATCGTTGCAATACGTGCTAGGGTTACGAGTAAATCTACTATTTTTAAAGGCAAATTAAGAATTCCACATAATCTAAATCATCGTATGTACATCTCGCGTAGAGGTCATATCCTCTCGCGCTGCGAGTGGAAACCGATGAGACATAAACGCAAATCAGAAGAGAGGTGAAAGTATCGCGTCTTCTCTAAACGACTAAAACCGCTTGCCAGTGAACACAGAGAGACATAAGAACAATGTGCAGCCATTCCAAGAAGGACGAAACTGACACTTCCTTGCTATACTCTGCGTGCGTACCTACGCGTTTCATTTGTTTTTTTGAATCCGAAGAAAAGAGAAATCGCCGCGTATCCACTAATCGACGAGTAAGCACGTCGTATCGACTAATGTAATTGTTCGCACTAAAAAAATCGTGGGGGGAAAAAAATAGCTCCGTATAACCGCTGATGGCAGAATATAGAATAATATGGTGGCTCTGCTCTCCACAATTTCCACGCCACGAACACGAGCGACACAGGAGGGTAGAGTAACCGGTAGAGGCAGAGGCAGAGGCAAAGATAGAGGTGAAACAGCTCGTTGACAGTACTACAGAATGAGCTAGCGGTTAGGATAAAGGTAGAAATACACCTATGAACGTATAGAGAACGTAGGTAAAAGACGACCGAGCAGGCAGACAAGCAGGCTCACGAACTCGCACGAATACGCGAGAAACGCGGCCGAGGAGAACTCCGCTGGGTGGCGCACAACGTAGTGCAAGCGGACGTAAAATACTCGCACACATACAAATATGTACATACATAGAGGGGAACAGGGCAGCACGCGCGCGGGCGAATGTACTACACGCGAGTTTACTAGCCAGTGAAAATATATACGTATATACATACGTGCGAGAACGTCGTGTGTATATACATGCATAAATGCTACTTTTATAAACATATACGTGTACACAGGCGTACACGTGCGTGCGCACGCGCTTGATTATGCAGTACAGCTAACCGGAGTTCTTTACCCAGCGCTTGCTTGTATGTACGTGTTCGTTCATAGGGCATGCGAAGCTATGACATACGAAAAATGTTAGACAAATTTTTTCCTTGTCCAAGAGTATCGTATACCTTGAATAAATTAATTGTTTTCGTTTGATATCGATAGACACTGACCACCAGTCGATGGAGTTATAAGAAGATTCAAAATGATACATCGATACAATCAAAGAAATCATCGAGAAATAAAACGCACATTCCAATAAACTAAAGGATATTTCCTGCAAGTGTATTGCGCGTGGACTTTACGCTGACGTTCCATAAGCTATTAACGCATACATCCCGATTATATAACGTCCCTGCATGAATTCCCTTCTTGTTTTACCTTCCTTTCCTTTTGTTTTTAACGCATCTAGGTATGTAAAACTCGTTTAGATCTGCAATTGGCCGTTTAATGGTTATGTTGTCAATATCTTGTACTTCGATGTTGAATTCGAACTTTGCGAGGAGACAAGAAGAATCTTTCTATTTGATTGCCTGTCAGCCTTGCTTACCAGTGTATACGATTACAAAGCGTCGAACGGTATGACATAGTTTTGTGTTAATTTTTACAGACCAACGATACGTTTCGTTCCAATTTCGCATGACGGCCATTCAAGAATAACTTCTTTTCAGTCTACCAGTTTGTATCATAATTAGATTCGGATTTTTCTTCCAACATAAACAACGAGACTTTGGAAATTACGATAAAACTGCAGAAATATCAACATTAAATGTTAATGGTTTACTTGACAACTCTGTGTAGCTATATATTCGAATTCGCGTGCAGAAAAAGACGATTCCACGACGAAATTGCAACAAAGAAATCGCAAAGAAGTAAGAAAATGTCGAACAAGATCAACATCGATCGCGAGTAGAGACTTCATCGAAAGCTGGTGCGTGTGTAAGTAAGTACGTACCCGTACGCATATACACAGACACGACGCATACATATACGACTATACTATACGTAGAAAAGGCAGGCAAGAGTAAGTAAGCGGCGACGAACTTGTATATAAGAAAGAAGAAGAACGAAAGATGAGGGCGGGAGGGAAAGGGAGGGGGCGGTGACTGGACGGACGGACGCAGAAGAGACGGACGGATTCGTACGTGTGCGTGCGTGTATAGTGCGTATACGTGCGTAGATGCGTGCGTTCAACCTCTCATCGCAGAAATATCTTATCCACGACGTGGCATGTTTTTTGGCTTAGTTTACCTCTGAAACACTGTCCTCTTCGCTCTCCGACGAGTCTGCCATAAAGCGTGGCTGCAGCTCGGAGAAGGTCTCGGTCTCTGACTTCGTAGGACTGGAGTTCGAAGACTGGGGAGTCGACGACGTCTTTCCAATGTCGTGGTGAACGCTCGCTGATTTTTCGTGCTTTTGACTATCCGAGGTCGTTCCTTGTGCTACATTCTGCATCTTTACCTTCCAGATGAATCATATGATACTGAGGTATCGTTCCCGTGTCGCGAAACACACACAGAACACTTGCTTTTCGATAATAATCTCGAGCACGATCGCCGTCATTCACGTAAGCTAACACCCGCCATTTCTACTATGGCCGACACCGAGGCTCCCGGATGCCTCTTTGACCATCTATATAATTTCATACGATTCGACGAGCCATCTTTCGTTTCCCGTGGCGGGTAAATTCGATTTATACTTTTTAAACGTTTTATACATTCCCTGTTTCTTATCATATGTAATTCATTTTTATTCTCGTTTCTTTTATTTTATTATTTTCCTTTTAATAACTATAATTAATATCTACTCTTCGATCTACTCTACGCTCGACGAAATCTCGACTCTGCTTAGCGATGTTGCGCTATGAATGTTTCAGTTTTAAATGTAGAGCGAAATAATTATTGATATTTTCGCAAACATATCAAATACAAAATAAAACAATAGTAATATTTCTTTGCGTCTATTCTCAGACTCTATAAACATTTTAATTTGTAAGAAAATAGCACAGCTTGAAACTTGTTTCCATATTTGCTATAAGAGCAAATTATCTAGAAACTATTTAACTTAATATAATATATTTAACACGTTTCATGTTAAATGAACGTAAATTAATCTGACGTAGCCGAACACAATTAAAATCGTTTAGATTTCCTTAATTATTAATTTTGCGTAATAAAAGCAGCGTGGTAAAAAAAAAAAGTCATTATTTATTCAAGTATTTGTTGTTACATAACAAACAATTTTTCTTTCTTATACAAATGGTTCAATATCGATCTCTAATACAGAGCAGGGTATATTTAGATCAAACTTTGTAATTACATCCGGGTGCAGAACGCCCATTTTTCCAATCACTTTGTTGTAACAGAAAATTTCCGCACAACGATGACGGAAGAAAGTAGGATCTGTAAAAAATCATTTTAGATGAGACACAGGGTGGGTCTGGTATGTTTCCATTTTTTGTATATCGTGTCATTTAACTTTTCCAATAAAATAATTCGTTGTATGATGCTTTACCATCGACCGCTAGAAGATAATAACCGTCCGAGTTTTCACCAACGCTCCACGGTATTTCTAATACGTGTAATATTCTGTCCAATAAACCATGAATTATTTCGAAACCATCCGATTTATTACAATACAGCGCACACAAATGACGATTATTACGCGCACCTACTTCCGTAGTATTATCTCTTAATATAACATCGGAAACTTCAAACAATTTCTGAGGAAGTGGCATTTTTTTATTTGCAGCTAATGTCCTCAATAATCCAGGCAGTAGAGTAGTGCGTGCTACCTATAACATTATCGTAAAATGTAAAATATCGATCTAATTTTTCCGACGAACAGTAATATCACTGAAATTTCTGTACCTGAAATTCTAAAGTTTTTGGATTTGATATATGAACCGCTGGTACGTTTTCCAGTTTATGACCTAATTTGTCCGCTATATCTTCGCGTGAACACTATGGAGAAGAATCATTGAACCTAATGAATCAATTACATGCACAGTTTAAACAAATATCATCGAAGATATTGCTTACCAATGAGAAAGTTAATGCTTCTGTAAAACCAGCGCAAGCCAATTCTGTACGTAATTGATCGGACAATTTATTAAGCGGGAACTAAATTTTAAATGCAAAAGAGTAGAAAATTATCGGTAAGTATTTTCGGATATTGCAAATTTAAAAAACGATCAAATTTATTCTTACCTCTTCTGCGATTGTAGATAAATATGGTATAGTTTTCTGAATGTTGTTGTATCCATATGCTATGGCGATATCTTCATAAATGTCACATGCGTGTATCACATCGTGTCTAGTGGGAGGAACTTCAATATTCAATATGTTATTTTTCCTTACACATGTTTTTAACGACATTTTAGAAAGTAGATTAGCTACTTCTTCCGCTGTTTGTTTTATGCCAATATAATTTATAGCTTTTTCACAATCAATTTCCTCAGTTCGATATTTCAAGTCAGGATAATGAAATACTTGTTTATTAGGATATATTACTTCCACCTTTTCTACTGTATATTTTATTTTACAGTATTGGCTAAATGCACAGACTATAGTGTCCAACACTATCCTTGCCTATAATTTTATAAATGAAAACTTTGAATTAACGTGACTCTCAATTCTATAATACATTAGAAAAATATCACTTTTATCTTATACCTTTGTAAGATCTGTTGCTGTACATTCAATGAATACATTTTTGGTATCGAGTGTAATTTTTGAATGATCTCCATTGATAATAGGTGGAAGGGATAAAATAATTCCATTGCTATCTTGCACTACAGGAAAAACTGGACTATCTTTTATGATGTGTAGGTATCGCTTTAACTGTGCATGATTCTGCAAAACATTTTTCAGTAGAAAATTTTATCCAAATTCAATTAAATTCTATTCAAAACCACCTACAGCGTATAAGTTCATAATTCCTTCTCCTGTATACTCCCTATCTTGATTAAGTGGTTTAAAACAGATGTCGGCTGGTGGTTTTGCATCGTATAAAAATGGACCCTGAATTGTGTCAAAATCATGAGTACCGATAGATACCAAACTTCGTTTTCTTCCTATATTTTGATGTAATTTGTCTTGCAGATCAATGAAACTATCGTAAGAGTCTTTTGTAAATGTAATATCACGTAAAATAGCTGCAACAATATGTCCTCTGATTTTCAGACACTAAAACACGATACAAGATGAATATTTTGTTAATGCCCATACATTTTGCATTTTAATTATTTCTTTTTATAATAGACATCAATTTTCATACTAGTATATACCTCACTTGTCATAGTAATCTTCTGCATGCCTGTATCCGAAAGCATTCCCATATAACGCGGTATATCTATTCTACATAAAAATATTGCAAAATATAAAGAGTATAAGGATACATAAATTTAATCTCTTATTATATTTTTTCCATTGTTATACTGTAACAAATCTTTATAATTATAATAATGATAATGAAATTTTATGACAAAGAATCATATAAATTTACAGGGTGTCTGTCCTATACCATGTGGGAATTATTCTAACAATGGATTCTACCCATAAAAACAACATAAAACTTATGGCACCTTTAACCATAGGTACAATTGGATCAACTATTCTGACTTTTGCAAGAATTATTCCAACATAATTCCATTGTTATGAATATTAGAAACATAGAATATTTGTATCAAGAACATAGATAAATATTTTGAAAAAGACACATGTGTAAACATAAAGAAATAACAAACTATATATTGTTAATATCAATTAACCATTTGTATGTGCATAAAGTCAAGGAGAAACAATTGTACATACTTGTTTAAAAATATGAGCAATCCGAGAGTTAAACCTTCCAAGCATAATAAATCATATCTGTTTGCTGGTATGTCAATTTTATATATAATTTCATCAGATACTTCTGTATTTTGATCTAGTCCCTTTTCCTTCATTATCATTAACTTTTCTGTTGTCTGAAAATTAAAATATGATTAATGTTGTTTATCAGATAATGTATGCTAAAATGTATCTACTCTAAATCTTTAAATATATTAATAAATACATACTGGCAAATTAAAAAAATACTTACCACTTCGTCCAATTCTAAACCAAATTTGAAGCACAAATCTTGAAACTCATCATCCGCTAAAATAGTATTATCTTAAATTGAATTACTTTTACAAGTGTTGTATTAAAACATTAATGTATGAAATAATTGAATTGATGTTGGATAACAAAACATGAACCATACATCATATATTGTATAGTTGCAATTAGAATGATTCATAACTTACAATACGTTTTACCAAGAGCTTTAAATAACAAGTCACGTTTGACATTAACGGTCGGCATTTTTTATACGATAACCACTTGTATCTTTCTTATGGTAATCTGATGAACAATGTGGCCAGGCCAGTGTGACCGACCAGATTTGGAATAATTAAATGCATCGACACGACGGCGACACTAATAACGACGAACTTCTTTAGTGTCTAACGGAGTGGTGGGTGGTGGGAAAAGCCGACATATCCTACCGTACGAGCCATATTACGTGAGCTCGGTATTTCGCGTAACTTTCGGAAATCGAGTAAGAAAGCGAATGCGAAGCATTGCGAGCCTTTCCTTCTTCATCTTGAACAGCTCAAGTGCGTTCTCGCGTTAATGGCATACAATTTCGAATCTCGACTGCCCAGGCATTTTTACGTTTCACGTTATATGGGCACAAATATATAAGCAAAGCCCATATTGAATGAAAAATTGACACGTAAATACACGTTTCAAGACCCCCTGATCATGTTTGACATGAAACAATACTTTGCAAATAAATCGTTTGAATATAGTTTATCAAGTAAGACTTTCGAAATTATTTTCAAACGATTTATTTTCTAATTGTTCTATTATTTCAAATAATAATTTTTTGATTTTATAGCAAAGAATGTTTATTTAATATCAATTCAATAAATTCAATTTGTATTTGTATATTTTTCGCCTATATAGGCAAATATACCATGTTCAGTTTTATTGCATAAGTTGTTCCATAACAGAGATGTTCAGTCTCTGACTTGTTAAATATAAAAGTTGTTCAGTTTATTTGTTCAGTCTAGTTGTTGTTCCCAAATATGAGATTTTCTTGGTCTTTAAAAAGACCGGTTTGTCCCGTTGGCCGCTGCTCGTGAAACATCTTCTTGGCCGCCAACTTCGATTTTGATCGAATGTAAATCTTCAATTAAATTCTTCATCTCGATACGGTCCGTCTTGCTTGGGGGTTGAATACGAAGAATACTCGAAAAGTTGTTCCTTAACGTCGTAAAGTGACAAAATGCTCAGAAAAATTGTCAATTTTCAAACGATCATAATTTTTACAATAGTAAAACTTATCTCATTGAAATTTTTTCTAGAAGTAATACCTAGAAAAAAGTATTAGACAACATTTGATTTTGATTTCGATTAAAACTGAAATTTATATTGTTTTAAATTCGCAGCCATTAGCTCGGTGTTACCCATAATGAAGAAGTTCTTCTTGAAAGGTAACACCGATTACCAGGTCTCACCACGAGGAGGTTGCTGCGATTGGAGACCCAAAGTGAGATCGATGGAACAAAGTTCGATCGACCTTCCTTTTTACACACTTAGAAACTAGATTACGCAAAAAAAAAGATGCCAAGTAATTACTTTTCTAAAACAAAGGAGGAAGCGAAATTGTGGGAGACGCGACACGACGAAACGCGACACAATACTGCACAGTGCAGTAGGAACATGAGGTGCGACACCGTACCGAATAGCGGGTCAAAAGGGGCAGCTCGTTACCTCTTAGCAAGTCCAATTGAAGGGGAGGAGAATCGACGCACCAGACACGGGTTCCCCATTTCTCCAACGCGCCCTGCTGGGAGCCCGTAGGACCCAACCCGGGACGTCTTACACAGGAGAGAGATCCTGAGTCGGGGCTACCGCAGACAGGAACAGGTCCCCTCTACGGCCGATGACTCTTTCCCTAGAATTGTCTCACCAGAGGACGGCAACCGACCCTTCGAACCATCTAAACGGCCGATCACTTGCTTTTTACATCAAAGCAGCGGTGACCGGAGCTAGAAACGGGGAAACGAGACTGGAAAATAAGCTATTAATTAATTCATTACTTGGCAATCTACGCAGTAAATAAAATAATATACAATGTAAATTGAAAATTAACGTCGTAGGTGGAATTGAGAATTAATGTGAATTAATGAAATATAGGAAACATCGGAAAAACAAGGAAAAGAAGGAAAAAGAAAAATTCGACGTTAATTTTTACATTCGCGCTGCGCCTTAAAATTAATCGCTTACGTGTAAATCCCGATGAATCCGACGTCATCTGTTGGCGACCTAGAAATTGACCTGCATAAAAACTAACGTAAAAATTAATAGTTAATTAATAGTACATGTAAAAAAATAACCTAAATAAGAAATCAAAACCAAAACCTAATTGTATGAAGTAATGAATTGACCAACCCAACGCAGTAAGATGAAGAAACGAATTAATAGAAAAAAAACAAACCAACGATGTGCAATAATAGATTAATTTGGAAAGGAACAACCCAACGAAGCGCAAGACGAATAACAAAATAATTGGAAAAATATCAAACCAACGATGTAATATGATAAAACCTGAAAGGAAAATAATTGAATAAATTAGTGGAAGGAACAACCCAAATATGTACAACAATACCTATATACCTATACATATACATAAAAAGGAGGAAAAAAACAATACATGGATTAGTTATATTAATATTAGTTACGTGTATACCAAACGGTGATCCATTCCCTCCTGGTCAGCATCGCAGAAGATATCTGAAACAGAAAGAAAAAACGCGTGACAGTACCCCCGGCGGTTCCAGGAGTACTGAAAAGATTTGCCCAGCTGTGTCCACTTTTATGCAGTCAAGCCAAAGTATCAACGAGCCAATCAGCAGCCAGTCCGCTGGGGGCGACATCGTCCGTGCTCCTTGAAACGTTTATAAGAGCCCCCTGAGGCCCTCGCGCGGAAGTTATCTCCCAACCACCAAGCAAGACGGACCGTATCGAGATGAAGAATTTAATTGAAGATTTACATTCGATCAAAATCGAAGATGGCGGCCAAGAAGATGTTTCACGAGCAGCGGGCAAGGGACAAACCGGTCTTTTTAAAGACCAAGAAAATCTCATTTGTGGGAACAACTTATGCAATGAACTGAACAACTTTTATATTTAACAACTCAGAGACACTTTACATCTCTGTTTTGTAACAACTTTTATATTTAACAATTCAGAGACACTTTACATCTCTGTTTTGTAACAACTTTTATATTTAACAATTCAGAGACACTTTACATCTCTGTTTTGTAACAACTTTTATATTTAACAACTCACAGACACTTTACATCTCTGTTATGGAACAAGTTATGCAATAAAACTGAACATGGTATATTTGCCTATATGTATAGGAAGGAAATTCGTCGTTAGTATTGTCGCCCGTCAATGCACTTAATTATGCAAGATCAGTATACTATCTAATTTTATTTTTTATTATACCGGTTTGTAATATCGTAAAGATCAATGCAAAAACATTATGCACAGCTCTTGTATTTCTTTGATTTATCCAAGTAGTCAAAGTATAATATTTAACAAACTTTTGATTCAAATAAAATAACGAATAACACACAAATTTGAGTACCTGTTACATGCAACCTATGTATAAATGCATAATAACTAATATTGATATACGCATAACGAACTTAGTTTGTGATATGAAACATTAAGAAAAGTGTAAATTAATAAATAGGTTTCAAAATGGGTATTCCAGGTTTAACAACTTTCATAAACAATCGTTCAGATCGTTATTTGGAATATTTCGAGCCACGTGATACGTATTTAGTTATTTAGCTGTCAAATATATAATTTCGTACAAGTGCAATTGTGTTTTTGGCGGTGATTACGATAGATACGCTCAACGAGTATCCCTGATCATGTTTTAACTATTGAAAAAAAGGAATTATATTTATTATTCGTATGAATGAACGTATGTATACATGTGTATGTTATTAATACGACTGAGTGTAAACAGTTGATTCAATTTATACTCAATTCAAAGTCGATTAGACATAAACTTCTTCACGAATTTTAAAGTTAAAATTCATTTTATTTTAAAATCCTCCAAAATATACGTATGGAATTTCAAGGTAACATTTCTAACCTCACATTATATTTTCGAAAAAGAATTTTTTTCTCGAAAGTTCGTAGAATTTCGCGGATATGTCTGTTGATCAAAAATGATTGTGATTTACCCCCGCAATCAAAAATAATTTTTCCAGAACGATTTGAGTTAATTTTATTTGAACACCTATGCTAGAGTCGGCTGTACTTTATCTACATACACTAAGCAAAGAATTCCAAAGTAGGTAAGTACTTACGTAGGCCGTGAATTTAATATAATTGCTAAACAATTCGGAACTACATAAATTATTAAATTATATTGTCTCTTAGTTCACACATATTTCTACAAAAATTATACGTACGTAAGAACGTACCATAGTATTCATTAAATGACATTTTATTTTTATACAGAGACCATGCATATTGTTATGTCTATGTGTACCGATCTAAGGAAAATAAAATAAGGTACTTTAGACCTATGAAAAATAACACCAGTATAACAATGACGTCTATATTATTTCGTTATTACGCGATTAATCAACATGACAAATGAATAGAGAATAGTATGTGAATATTAATTTTTATTTTAAGAAATTGTAATATTTTAACAAAATGGTCAATCTTGTTTTTTCTTATATGTTGACGAATAACATCGGATCTGCGAATTGTATTGTACTAAAGACAAGATGATAAATTATTATGAAAAATAGAATTAAAAATACTTTGTTCATTGAATCAATAAACTGATCATGCTGAAACAAAAATATAAATTTTGTGAAAATCATATTTTCAATACCTAAAACTGTGGATAATATATTATTTTCTTTAAAGACTTACCCGTATAAATAATAGAAAAACGACAAGAGATAAAATGCAAGTTTAATCCATCCTTCCCTTTGATGAGCTGTTAAAACTTGAGCATTCATTATACTAGTGGGGTCGTAGAGGCCTGGTTTAGACATGACAGGTCTATGCCAATACTGCCATAAGTGATATGCTATTAATGGAATATTGAGGAATAATGCAAACCATTGTCCACTTATTAGAAATAAAATGTTAATCACAATATGCAGGCTATATTCTGGAATAACTAGCTGAAATGAAAATATACATTAACTAAAACTTTTAATAAAATATTAAATGTTATAATGTTACAAAAGCTTGTAATGTCTCACCGGATTTAAACTGTTACACTGTTCAATCGGATTTTTATACCCAGTCTTTAATTCATCGAACGCAATAACCTGCAAAATTGAATGCCTTTAATTATGTTGACAAATATCCATAGAAAACGTAAGGTTAGAAACAATTCGGATCAATTATTCAGGTATATGTTTTGTGTAAAAAATCATCATCGTTTGTAAGTTTCACGTACATGAAATATTGCGAAGAATATCAAGAAAGCATCTGTAATTAAAGCCACAATATATGAAAAAGCGGCCAAATTGAACGCCATTGTGGTTATACACTCAACGACACCGAGTATGTAAGTATGTACTTGAACGTGTTTCGACGCTTATGGATTAGATTGACACACGAATCAGGTGTCCAATTCTTAATACGTATATGATCAAACAATTTATAATGATATTCGGCTTACATTTTGTTTGTCATTGACGAGATTCAATGATAACGTTGCAATTGCTAAGATATGTGACGTACGTTTGTAAGTACTTTAAATGATATGTATCTAGTAAGACTGTAATCGGTCATGACCATATCAAACGTATCCACAAACAATTTTATGATCTAACCTGCGAAAGAAATGCAAACTCGTCAATTTTAATGATTCTATTTTACACAAGACAATAGATATCGATGTTTTTCATATTTTATCAGATTTAATAAAAACATTTTTTGTAATAATATCTAATGAAATTTAAAAGTTATTCGCATCTAACGTTTGCAATTTGCTGTTAAAAGTTCATTGTACGTATTATGAAATTACGATATCGTACATACGGGAAAAACAGCCTTGCTAATATAAATGCATGGTTACCGATAGCGAAGAGGATGTAATGTTTGAAAATACTGTTTAAGAAAGATACGTAAATTACTTAACCGAATGTTTCTATATGTTTTTTCGTATAATAATAATAAAATACAATAGTTTTATGTACGCCCTAATTAGTATAGCCAAGTTTTTTTCTTACGAGTACAAATAGAAATTTTTAATAAAGAACAAAACAGAAACTGTAACAGATATAAATTTAATGAAAAAACAAAATATTAATAACAACCTGAAAAGGAGAAATAAATAACTTTATTTTTACAAACTGAATGTACATACGTATATGGTACTTTAAATAACAATTTGCTCGCAATTATAACATTGTATCGGATGCACATTACCACATACAATAGCAAACATACATATACTTACAAGCATGTAAATAATAACAATTTTATTAATCGAGGAAGTAAAGGCGTTGTGCATCAATCGACAATGCAAACGGCAAAACGACAAAATACTAGAGTTACTACAAGTTAAAATAATATCTGATATAATTTTGACCCTCGAAACTAGTGTCATGATATCAAAAATATATTGTTTGTAAATATATGTCTGCAAGACAAAACATAAATATGACTATAATCGTTGCTATCTTATTTAAAGTTTAAGTTGATCAAAAATTATTCTGCACATACGTATGTATGTATGTATACAATATGCCATTAAAAAAATCACAGTGGATATTTATTTATACCCTTTCGATACGATATTAACAAACACAGAATTTAATGCCAAGTATTTGTAAATATATGTCCATCACTGTGTACGGTATCGCATTATTAATGCTCAAAGCATAATTGCTAAAAGTTTCTTAATAAAGGTTGAGTTCTGTATGTATGCTCTAGTTCTATACCTGTTCTTGTTATTAATGTTTCTTCATTCTTAATAGTCCACTGAGTATTATTACGTATTAATTCCCTTTTAGGTTGTAATATATGACTTATATTACCATAGTGTATGTCTAGTTCTTTAAATGCATTCAATAAAAATATTGCAATTATCACAATGAAAAAACCACAAAAAGAACCCAAAATATCTTCTGCACTCATATTTTCCCATTCTCTGAACAGTATAGCGGAAGCAATTATTACTAATGTTGTAAAAAATACATAATAAATTGGTGTCACAATAGTGGTTTCAAATAAGTCCAACGATCTATTTAAATAATTCATTTGTACACTGATGCAAAGTATAACACTAAATAAAAAAAACCATGTTAGCCAGTTTGAAAATCCATTAAATCCATTAATGGTTTCTTTTATAGCCAATCCCAATCCCTTGCAGCTCATTACAGTTAACGAGCCGATAGATGAACACAGACAAATGTACACGATTATATTCTGCTTTCCACAAACAGGGCCAAAATGAAAAATTATTAAAAGACTGCATATTATTATAACTAAAACGTAGACAATAAATCCTGGATTCTTGATCTTGTCTAAAAGCTCATTTAATGTTCTAATTTCTTCTTCTTTGGGAGCATGAAGTACAAGAATCGTAGAACCTAAGATGCATAAAAGGCAGCCAATCTAAAAGGAAGGTTATTTGTAGATGTATCTTCTTCTCGTATTAAGTATGTGTAAATAATATTAAGTAATTGTACAATTTAATGTTACCTTTCCTAGTAAATTAAGTCTTTCGTCTAAATACTTTGATGCTAATACTGCAGATATTAGAACACTGAGTGCACCTAATTGTGTAACCAATGAAGCTGGAGCAAACATATAAGCAGCAAAATTACTTGCTTCTCCTATTCCCACTTTAATTCAGCCATGTAATTTAAAAAAATATATCAGCATTTCTCAATCTTTTTTTTTGCACGAATCAAATTATACATACATATACATAGTAAAGAATTCTTTGCAATCCATTATGTAATTTGTAATGTTAATGTTCATTTGTATGAATAGGCAGCATTTATTTCAAGTCCACTGATGAATAAATAACACTGTATAATATGTAAATATTTTTTACTTACTTGAAAGAAGACCAACCCACCATACCCATTCTTTCAAGTATCCAAATCCTCCAGACGAAGCTCGTAACGCGCCGTATCTTTGCAGACGAATTAACGCTTTTTTTTTTATAATAAAACTAGCGCCTAAATAACCACAATACAGACAAAGTTCATATTAGTTTTAAGTAAAGAGATTATTCAATTTCTTTACTAAAGATTCAAACCTTAACTAACCTATAAAACCGCAGGAACTAATCGCTAGTCCCAAACCTACGTAAAAATCCGTTGCATTATATAATTTTTTATTAACTATAATTTCTGTTGTCGCATTCATATTTGGATATAGATTACTGCCTCATAATCACGTATTATTAATACAAATGAATGTATAACTTTGTAAAGAATGATTGCGGATAAAAATCGTACATCATCATCAATAATGCCAGCAACACAGATGATGTATGATGCATACGACTCGTATACGGATACCTTAGATCAGTGCGGCTAGATCTGGCATAATTTGATGCATCGGCATCGACAGCGACACTAGTAACGACGAACGGAGTGGTGGGGTAGGTAAGTCGACATATCCTACTGTAAGAGTCACACGTTGCGCGAGCTCGACAATTCGTGCAACATTGGGAAATCGAGAAAGAATACCGGTGCCAGTGCGAGCCTTTCCTTCTTCATCCTGAACAGTTCAAGTCCGTCCTCGCGTCAATGGCACAATTTCGAATCTCGACAGTCGACTCTGCCCAGGCATTTTTACATTCCGACCCATATTTTAGGTGTTAATTAATTTTTTTACCTATGATTCTTTTTCTATTTCAGCATTATTTCTCTAAACAGTTTAATTGTCTTGATATTTGTAACATTGCATGAAAATAATACTAGACATCCTCCAAAAAGGTATGTACTTACGTATGATCTTTCAGGGGAACATTTCTAACCTCATATTATATATTCGGAAAAGAATTTTTTTTCTCGAAAGTGCGCAACCAAATGGTCAACCATTGTTAACCATTGAATAATCAATGCCTTGATATTATAATATTCTTATAATATAATAATATTCATGCGCACATAAAAAGAATATATGTACAGTATAAGAGTACAAAGTAGATTCGTATAAAAACAATAGAGCAAACACAAAAAATCGTACGGACTACATTTTCTTTATCAATCTTACTTATCGACAAGTAACATTTTCAATATTTTCTGACAAATTAATCTCATAGTATGAGTAGGAACTATGGAAGCATATAAAATACATAGTATATGATCTCCATATTTAACTGCGTGACATTTGTGATATTCTGAACATAAATATATTTCTTTTGCACCAACGAATTTCCAATTATCACTCTTTCTTTCACCTTCGGATTCAGGAGATAATATAAAGGTTTCAACAGCTTGATGATAAAACGTTCGTAGTATATCCAATCTGTGTGATCCGCTGACTCTGTTTTTAGCATACTGAATGTTTCTGCCAAGTACGAATTTCTGTACTTTATAATTTGCCAAAAGAAATCTATGTAGATATGGAAAATACATACTTTATCCATGTTTTGGCGGTATATTTCTGTTCATAAAATTATGTAAGCAAAATATTTTTATATATTACCCAAGCGTTTCCGAATCTAAATTTATAGACATGGGTAAATTCTTTGGATAGCACTGTTCTGCCCCGTGTAAAGCATCGATGCTACTCTTCCAACATTGTACAGCAAATCTTTCAATTTCTGATAATTCTGGATGTGGTCCACATAATGCAAGTACTTCGATATGATTAATCAATGTAACAGACACTAGTCTGAAAGCCACCTACATCATCTCCCATGTTACATGTATATATGTTGTTGTCACGTTAAATTTATTTTCCTATAACTTTTAAAATATACTTACATTTGGACTCTTATAAGGTAAAAATACTGGAATATCGCGGGTAGTACAAACACCTTCTGCAGTAACAGCTATTATTAACAATTTCCTTTCTATAGGGTTTAAACTCCACCATCCTTCTGTGGCAACTGCTAGGCAGCCATGTATTAAAATACATCCGTATATAGAATCCAAACATTCCACATAACCCTCTAAACAAGTCTTAAATATATTATTATTTAATACAGAAAATGAGTTTTCAATTTAAAATATTCAGATTACCTGAAGTAAATTATTTTCATTGCACATAATACATTCCGTCATATTAACAATATCAGTTTTTAAAGAGATTCCATCTCCAGCATCAAGACATTGTAATAAACTATCAACAATTGGACTACATAAGCGCATGTCTTTTTTAAGCTTTTCAATATTTTTTGCACTTTTTACTTCATCGATACCAACAAATAAAATCATAGCACCGAATATAGCATCAAGAAATTGAGTTAAAATATATTTTGTAGTTCCAGTTGCAATAGCTATTAATGTAACGCTTTGTTCAAACTCCTTCCACATTACAGTAGTATCTGGTAAGTCTGTGTATAAAAGTTTGATGTCTTGTGACTTAAGAAACATGTGTATTCCATTTAGAGATGCTATTTTAGAAAATGTCATCTACGAGTATTAGAAACAGAAATATTAGTGATATTTATGTAATTCTTATATTCTTTGTTGAATAAGTTTCCTACCGTGTCACCTTCTCCTTTTTGTCGAGAGAATAATGGAATTCCACCAGAAGAAGTTAAACACATAATGTGAGCTACCATTATAATGGTGTTTTTCTTCTTCGTACGTCAAAGATCTAGTTGTACATAAATTTGTATTATTCTTATTCAGTCAACTATGCAAAAATTTTCTCTTATTTCCTACTGTCCAAGAATAAATATTACATTTTCTTTCTGTTATTCTCAATAAAGCGTGTACATTCGTGCAAATATATTTTTCTTATTACAACTGTACTGCTTCACTTATTAAAATGAAATAAAAATTATTTACCTTTCGGTTCATACCGATCCAGTATTTTAGTTTATACATACTTATTTCATTTTACAATACAAATGCAAGATGGCGGTTGTCTTTTTTTTTTTAAAAACCTACATGTGAATAGGTACCTACGTAGGTATTTACTCATGGAAACATCAAATTTGTAAAGACTTCTGATTGATGAAATGATATTACTGACTTCTAATTGGTAGAATGTGACGCTGCCAGTGTCATTCCACCAATTGAAAGTCCAGTGCTATATATGATTTCACAATAGATTCTATACTGTTCGGTGTACACTATGCACTTCGTTCAACTAGATAAAATTTTAGAGGTCTCTTGCACAATATTTCGCAAGTTAATAACAGTAGTGATTTTACATGTAAATTCCTTAATATCGTTAACTTTTCAAAAATATTGTACAAAAAGCTATAGTAGATGGTATTGTTTGATGGGTTAGGTGACATTATTAAAACTTTATGATAGATAATCGATCCAATGAACAAATCATCGTTTATTAAGTATCATTGCATTTATATGTATCGAAATACATTTAACGACTAGTAATTTATTTCTTGAATTTATAACAACTTCAAAATGTACATACCACGGGGCTATCGAGATATTTCATAAGAACACACGAGAGCTGTCACATACAGATTATGTCTCAAATCCATTATTAAAACGTAACGATATACAATTAATAACTAATAATTTATTACTTAGCTTTGTAGCATATTTAAAAATTCTAATGTTGCAAAGTTACTAACAGAGTAAAACTAGTCATATTGTATAGATTGATTAATCGTGTCGAGGTTAGATGTTCAATATGGTAGGAACGTCATTTAGTGTTCTAGCTAGACAACAACTAGAAACTTATGGAAAAAAGAAAAGAGATCTGTTTGGTATGTCGTATTCCCCTCAAACGGCAAAAATTTATCCCCCTTAATGCATACAAAATATACATATGTCTATGAGCACTTTCAACAATTTTCTACATCAATACTCGTAATTGCGAATACGATGAATAAGTTTTGGTAAATAAAGTATTTGAAAACAATTTCTAATATACGCAAATATTAAGTTTAAAGAGTAAATTTTGCAGTAATACAGATAATTGAAAGAAATTTTATTCATAATTTAATGCAAGTACGAAATCAATAAATAGACAATTTTTTCTTTTTGTCACAGTTGGATTCAATGTTATTTTAATATTACGCCAATTTTAGTATTAATAAACTAGGTATATACTCAATAATGAGAAAAAGAGGAAACGTATCAGGGAGTTAGTTGAGTAATTTTCTATTTCTAATCAGAATTAAAAATGAATTCAACCAAAATGATTTAATGATAAGGGTTGAAGGGTGCGTAAAGTAATGTTTTAATTGAAAGCTATTTTTGTGCTAATTTTGTTATTATTTTTATATACATGAATTATTATGACCATAAAATTGATAAATGTAGCAAAGATGTACATATTCGAGAAGAGTTTGCTTAAAATTTGAAAGTAATTTTAATTGAAATTGGACCAGTTTGAATATTGTTAAGATAAAGGGAATAGCTTAGTTGAATAGGAGAACAGAAGCGATTGGTATAATGTTGACATCCATTTGGCACGAAAAGGCAGTTGCAATTCGCTGAAGAATCAACTTTTTTAATATAGCTTTTTAAAATCATCGTCCGTTTTTTCAACAAATGACAAACATTATTCATCAAACGTACGACAACGTTAATTGCGAAGATCAATTTGTTTTTTCGCGCACGAGCTTCGTGTATGTACACCGTAAATTACGAAAAAGAGTGTCAAGTCGGTGTAGGAATGTGGCACTTCAAAATGGCTGCCAGTTACTTTAGTAATTTACGGCTGTATCTTTCTTTGTTGTTGCTGATGTAATTACGATTGTGTATCGGAATATCGGAGAATTGATTTAAAGGAAAAATAGTGGATCGAAAGTTCTACGTACACATTACCCTCGTCACATGGGTTTTGGGTAAACGTGAGAATAGAATATGCTCTGAAGTCGTTCTCTCCCGATTGCTACTTCGATCGAATTTATTTCAAGACATTTCTCAGCCAATGCCTTCTCTTCTACGAAGAAAGTGTGTTATTGTAGCTTGTTCTACGTATAAAGGACTTTTTGGATCGATCCGTTACATATCTAACGAATAGGTTAGATTTCAGATCGATCTCAACATCATGTACAAAGATACGGAGTTTGTGAGATTACATACGAATCTGTTTTATTCTATAGTATGAGCTTCTAAATAATATATATGTATATATATATATATATATGTATGTATATATACATATATATATATATACATATATGAAATTATGGATGAACAAGCAAAACAATTTTATGCTACAGACAAGACTTTTGGCATAACGAATAACATATTTTGGTGTCTATCGACTCACTAATATCGATATAATTTTGTTATTGCATGTAATTATAAATATTTGAAAGAGAAGTAGTACATATTAGAATTAGCAATGCCTGTTGTTGCTCCTATATCAAAGCGACGTGTTTGTTGCGTGTGGCATAGTACACTACCGCTGCAATGACACTAGAAAAAGTCTGTGCTAAAGCTTATTAGCATAAAACTAGTTCTGTAAGCATCGTGTTAATATATTTATTTGATTCGCAATAAGAAACTTTGTACAATATATACTATAATTTAGTTAACACAACGATACAATTGTCCTTTAATAACCTTAGTAATCGTAAAGTACCGTTTGGATTATAGTACTTTGGGGAAAGTAACACACTCAAGCAATATCGTATCATGCGTGATACAAATGTGTCGTAGAATTTTTAAGACGCTATAAGAAAGCAACTGAATATTATGTTTTAGATGTATGTATGTATATATATATATATATATGTCACAGCCGGATTAAAGCTAGGTCTCAGAGGGCCTAGCATGGGCCACTATGAATCCACCCGCGGTTAGTAAATCGAGCACTCGTGGCTCTGGATACCATCAAAAGGCATTAGCTGAAATTCGTAATTCTTTGCTGCCTTTTGCAAATATTGGAGGAGCAGGTGAAGTAGGTTCCAGCGCTGCCAGTACTATATCTACTTTATCGACAACCAGTGGCATTAGTTCTGCCTCTGGTCTCAGTGGTCTCTCAGGAGCTTCGGGTTCTACTATCGACAAGTCTGATCAGCGACAACTATTGGTACAACTACTAGCCATGGGATATTCGGAGGTGCGTAAGTCATAGAAAAGTTTATCAATATCGGAAACTATTTTTATCCGAGAAAAGAGAAAAGAGTCGTAACGTGCCTTATAAATTCTTAATACGCAGGAAATTGCATTGCGTGCTCTGAAGTTGGCCGGTTGGCGTTTGGATGCCGCTATAGAGTTTTTGAAACAAGCGCAAGGGGAATCGCTGAATGGACTTGGTAAACTTAACACCAAGCTTATAAGGAAACCTAGTTTGGAAAGGGAGTTAAGTTTACAACGTGGTAGTCCTGCACTGGACAGTGGAGCAGGAAGCTCGCGATCCGATAGTCCTCGTTTGACAGAGCTTAGTCCGCACCCGCAGTTAAGTCGACAGTATTCTCCGAGCAATTTCGTAGAACGAGAACCACCTCCACCACCGCCGCCTAGATGCAGTTCTACGCCCCCACCGCCGCCGCCACCTCACGCTCCGTATAACCAGCCAAATGTACCTACTAATATGCAGCAAATGCTCAAACGCATGTCTCCTGCTCCAGTCGTTCCTACGCGACCGCCTCCCACCGCACCTGGCAATACCGGACCAATTTCGACATCAGTCAATTTGCCGCAAAGAGGTACAAGTCCGGTGGCGAGCTCAAACAATAATTCGAATAGCCGCCAACCTATGATCGTTCAAAATGGTCCTCAAGTTCAACAACAGCTTTCGCAGCAAATGCAGGCTCTCAGCATATACCAAACGAGCAACAACAATTCTAATACTCAAGTTGAACCGCCACCCCCGTATCCCATAGTCTCTTCTTCGTCGGCTGGTCCGGTACAACCACCATCTTACAGTGTTTCTATACAAAACAGGCAGAGTCCTACACAGTCTCAGCAAGATTATCGTAAAAGTCCTTCTTCTGGTATTTATTCCGGTCCGACATCGGCTGGATCGCCAAGCCCCATTACGGTCTCCGCTATATCACCGAATACTCAAGCTTCTATGGCTAGACCGACCCCGCTGCAAGCTTGGGGTGCGCGACAGGCCAAAACGCAGCCACCAATAATTATGCAATCCGTCAAGAGTACTCAAGTGCAGAAACCTGTCTTGCAGACCGCTATCGCGCCGACTTCTCCTCAACCTATTTCGACCACCAGCAACACACCACCACCACCACCTCCGTCTTATGCGTCTTCTATTCAGCAAAAGCAACAGCAACCTCAGCAGCAGCAGCAGCAGCAGCAGCAACAGCAACAGCAACAGCAGCAGCAGCAGCAGCAGCAGCAGCAGCAGCAGCAGCAGCAGCAGCAACAGCAACAACAGCAGCAGCAGCAACAGCAGCAGCAGCAGCAACAGCAGCAGCAGCAGCAGCAGCAGCAGCAACAACAACAACAACAACAACAACAACAGCAGCAGCAGCAGCAGCAACAGCAGCAATCGCAGCAACCACCGCCTGCGTATCCACCGGTGAATAACGTTGGCACGTCATCTGCGAACAACATAAACGTAGGTGTTTCGGTAGGAGTGCCAACCACAGAGCCACCAAGTTACGCGACCACTATGCAAGCATTAGCGGCACAACGTGGTATGCATCATCCGCTTCCTCCTCCTCCGTATGGGACACCCACCACCGAAGACTCGAGCGGAATGTCCACGGTTGAAAATAGCACGAATCTTAGGTCGTCTCCCGTCGCACTGCATCCTCCGTTACAAAGAAAATATTCACCCGCGGACAATTGTCAACATCCTATTGAAACGCCGCCTCTACCTTCGGTAACATCGACTTCCGTAACCACGAGGAATAATAATAATGGTAACAACAATAACAGCAGCAGTAACGGTGGTAACAACAGCAGCGGCAGCAATAACAATATCAACAACAATAACAATCATTCACCGGATAGCAACGGGGCTAAGGGAGGAGGTAGTTCGCCTTCGTCTTACAAGATCAAGCATCAATCACCAATACCGGAGCGGAAGCACATGAGCAAAGAGAAGGAAGAAGAACGCAGAGACTGTAAGGTACGCAATTATTCTCCTCAAGCGTTCAAATTTTTTATGGAACAACATGTTGAAAACGTGTTGAAATCCCACAAACAACGATTATATCGTCGGCTTCAACTGGAAACAGAGATGGCTAAGATAGGCCTTAGCGCGGAGGCGCAGTGTCAAATGAGGAAAATGTTGTCACAAAAGGAATCGAATTATATTCGATTGAAGCGGGCGAAAATGGACAAGTCGATGTTCACGAAAATAAAGCCAATTGGAGTGGGTGCGTTCGGTGAGGTAACGTTGGTCAGAAAGCTTGATACCAATCAATTTTATGCTATGAAAACTTTAAGGAAAGCAGACGTATTGAATCGCAATCAAGTTGCTCACGTTAAGGCTGAAAGAGATATACTGGCGGAGGCTGACAACGAATGGGTAGTAAAGCTCTATTATTCCTTTCAAGATAAAGACAACTTATATTTTGTAATGGATTATATACCTGGCGGTGATTTGATGTCGTTGTTGATCAAGTTTGGCATTTTCAAGGAACCATTGGCAAGATTTTATATTGCCGAGCTCACGTGCGCGGTAGAAAGTGTTCATAAGATGGGTTTTATTCACAGAGACATTAAACCGGACAATATTTTAATCGATCGAGACGGACATATAAAGTTGACAGACTTTGGATTATGTACGGGATTTCGCTGGACTCACAACTCCAAGTACTATCAACAAAATGGTAAGAATAAACGCTAATCAATTATCAAAGTACCAACAAGTAAAGCGACGAAAGCGGAATCAGTAATATCCATATTATACATACATATGTATAAAGTCATGTACATAATTTGTGGTAAAAACAATTAAACAAAACAGATTGTAGCGTTTGTTTTACTAATTTATTTATACAGTTTATTAGATAATAACTATTACCACAAAAGCAGGTCACGGAAAGCAAGATTCCATGGATCCCGCTGATGACTGGAACAACGAATGTCGTTGCATTCAGTCAAAACCATTGGAACGCAGAAGGCACAGAGAGCATCAGAGATGTTTAGCTCATTCGTTGGTTGGGACACCAAATTACATTGCGCCGGAAGTACTACAAAGGACAGGATATACTCAGTTGTGCGATTGGTGGAGCGTCGGTGTAATTTTGTATGAAATGTTGGTCGGTTCTCCACCATTCCTTGCCAATACGCCCGCCGAAACACAATACAAGGTGAATACATTTTTAATTTCGTTCAAATCGGTTTCCATAGTAGAGAGGCCATAAATATGGTGTCCAAACTTTTTCACAGACACCTCCTTAACGATATAATTTTTTACTCGTTGAATATAAAAAATTGTTTAGGAAAACTGCTGGCCAAATTAAATACTTAAACAATTTCAGTCGTAATTAATATATTATGCATACATATAAGGTGATTGTAGAAAATGGGGCAAGCTATGTGTAGATAAGACAACCGGTATGTTGGAAATAACAAAAAAAAAGAAATATTCTTGTAGTTGTTAAACTCTGATGATTAGTGTATTGATAGAATGAAATGTTATTCCCATATTTTGACATTAAAAGTGTTTTAATTGTATGGTGAAAACATTACTGTGAAAAATATTACACTATAGATATAATTAATCAGAGTCTAGACGCGATAAAAATTTTCTAATGTTTCGCGTTACAGGTGATCAATTGGGAGACGACTCTACATATCCCGAAGCAAGCAAACCTCTCTGCAGAAGGTATGGATCTGATATTAAAGCTTTGCGTTGGTGCGGATCGTCGGTTAGGTAAGAACGCGGATGAAGTAAAAAGTCATCCGTTTTTCGCGAGTATCGACTTTGAAAAAGGATTACGTCGACAAGTAGCTCCTCACATACCTCGGATACAGTATCCTACCGATACAAGTAACTTTGATCCGGTGGACCCCGATAAATTACGGAATTCGGAGTCTTCCGATTCCAATAAATCGGACGAGTTATTAGATAATGGTAAACCGTTTCACGGTTTCTTTGAATTCACGTTTAGACGGTTCTTTGACGACGGTGGTGGTCCTGCGTATCCTAGTCGAATAAGTTTGGACGATAACGACAATCAAGGTCCTGTTTACGTATGACAGTAGGTTAATAAGTTTTATTCGTGGCAAAGATGAGATAATGCAATATTTCACGTTCGATCGGAAAATTTTTTGTAAATATTGTTCAAAAGAGATTATTCTGGATTAGGACGGGTGTTTGAGTGATGCGAACTGTGAAAGATTTTGTTAAATCGTCGTCAAGGAATGTATACCGTACTATATTATACAAGCTGAACAGAACGGCTGTCATCAAAAACAAAAACCCTCGCTTTCGTTCCTTAATTTCGATAACAGGATATATCGACGGTGTAGAGCCATGTGTTTCGTTATTTGTATTCTTGTGTTTTATTTTCCTAATTTTTCCTGTACCTTTCTCAACCCCATCTCCACCGCGACCACCACATATTTCATAATCATCGAATCCCATGTTGGAATCATCTTCTCAGAGATCAAATTTTACGAACGAAACTCTAATCGATAATACGACAGGACGGAGTTACACTTCATCGCGGAATCTAAAATTTATGGGCATTTATCGTGTGTTTATGATACAGTTTCTAGAATTTTATTATCACACAATGTGACACAATATATCTTGAGTTAAGATCTCGAGTTATAATAACTTTTAGAATTTCATGAATTCTGCTAAAGATTGTACGTACAACTTGAAAAAAGAAAGAAAAAAAAAAAGGATACTAATTCGTTTACAGCGAGGTATATGTAATCTCGAATACAATTATGAACGTGATGGTCGATCGAAAAATAAGAAAGTAAACGATCGATGGTTAGGCAATGTATACTCTTGTGTAATGTGTTTATCGAAGAAAAGGTATTGTGCTTGCCATTCTTATTGGAATTGGCTTTCGTGCCTATCGGAAACACCTGTTTGTATGTTTCAGCAAGTACTGTGATATTGCAAATAATTAGAATAATGTGGCTTTTAAATGTATCGGCCTTCTTATTTAACGTCTTTTTTTACATTGAATGCTACAACATATAATAATTATTAATAAATATTAATTATTATTGTATAGATTCTTGAATGGATGTAATGTGTTCATTGCATATTTTATGCAGCTTTCAATCGTCAAGCCTTTTTTCACTCCTTTTATAAATATTTTGTAATTTTAAGAAATATCTATTTACTGTCATGCCGTATATATTGTATTTTGTGTGTGTCTCTTATGTCTTCTCGTATTAATTAGATATAATTAAAATTAAGAAACTCTGAAATGAGTGTGAGACGAACAGTTGGAAAGTTCTCAATTGCACAGAAAAATCGTTAATTTAATTTAAGTGAAAACACGAGTAAATGATACGTAACGTCAACCAAGTAACAAACATTCAATTCATCCGTATCATTTCATGAAACAGTTTCTGTCGTTCGTAAACGACTTCCTACTGTAACACTTCCTAACACTAGACGTACCGAAGGAACTGATGAAACTATCAATTGCAATATTTACAATATGGATAACAAAATGTGGAATTGGGAAAACGTTTTTTTCCATATCTCATGTCACATATGCATGCAATTTTATGCAACACGATAATAACACGATGTCGTATTACTTTTAAAAAATACCTTCATGAGACACATTTGTCTGTGTATTGTTTTTCCCTTTTTTTCAATTAACTAGCTTTTATTTAAATTGTTTTCGAGTGTCGAGGAAATTTGGCAAACGAGACTTAACATCCAAAACGATAAATTGTTTAGTGTCTGTTAATATTTTGTTCTCGTTGTTAAATATACAATATGTAAAGTAGAAACGGTTGCGTGCGCGCAGTTAGTGAAATTGATTCGAATGGCTGGTGGTAACGAGAACCAGTCCCATCTATTTTAAACAACATACGATCGATCTAGTTGTTGCATTTGATCGATTTTGTAAAAACTGAAAGACTTAATCGTTGACGTTACTCGTTTGATAGAAGAGAAAGGGTTGAACACTGCATTACTGCATCAAGAATGTATGTACCATGTACAAATTAAAGATAAATCGTTTTATTCGTACTGTTAACGTGTTGACAATGGAAAGTGAAATCGTTAATTTCTAATAGTTAATTGTACCTACAGAGGATTGACAAAAATCGATTGATTATAAAAAAAAAAAACACTTTTTATGGTGTAACATTGAAACAGTAACGATCAGAAGTTAAAAATATGAATAATTGTACGTTTTGTTTTTTATCTAAATTTTTTTCTAACTAGTTTAAATAATTACTACTAATTTGTGTGGTCTTTACATGCAGTATATACCAAAGGAAAAGTAAGTCTTTTATATAGAATGAGAAGATTGCTAGAAATGTAATCGTCTGAACGTTACTGTATTAATAACAAATGACAAATGACAAATGTTTAAATACGTGTTTCGCATGATTTATTCGTTATTATTGCGCGTAGAAGAAAAATGTATGTATTGCAAAAGAAGATGGAAAGAGGAAAAAAAATGTAAGAATGACTTAGGTTTTGTTACTGATTCTCACTGTATTTAGAAACTGACATTCTTCTTGGAAAGTAGATTCGATACATGAGAAAGAAAAGGTTTCCATGTAACAACAATAGGTTGCCTGTGAGAATTGAAAAAGTTTCAGTAGTGGAAAAGGCAGAAAGGAGGAATAGTAATTTCGTAGTAATACGCAACGCATTTAAGTTGTATTCATGCCCCACAATGTGTAAACATCTGTTTGTTTTAATTGCACAAAAGAAAGAAAGAAAAAATAAAAAAAAAAATAAGATCAGACATTTGGCATAGAAGATTGTTGCTTGACAAGAGGATTGAGTATTGTGTTACATCACATTCGACAAATAATGAATACCAAAGGGATTCACTCTTATTATCATAAAAGTAATCCTTGTATACTACAATTGCTAATCTTACTCTTTGTATACATAATTTTGCATGTGTAATTTTAGTTAATAGATGGTGTGCGATGCTAAAACGAATTTTCAACGAGTATTGGTTGTTTTGTATCTGTGTTATAAATTGCAAACAGACGATCGAAATAATCGAAAACATACAAAGCATTATTCTGCACGTATGTATTTGTTGCTCGATCATTAAGAAATTTGCGAGTGCTTCCTTCGGTGGATTTAATTCGTTCTATATATGTATTATGAAATAATCGAAATCAAACGGTAATCTAATTTTACACCGTATATACAAATACATACAACGATACCTATTAAAATGATTCCTATACATATATCTGTTAACACGTTGTGGCCTTACAATATATATGTATTATCTATGTGTACGGGTAATCGCAGAAGATAAAACGAGAAATATAAAACTATTTTTACTATAAGAAGGCTGAACACTGGGTACAAAAAGTAAACAATACCATATTATTATTTACATTAAAGAATATAGATAGAACAAGAAAAGGTTTCTAAAGTTAGTGAGCGAAAACAAAAGTTTGCTCTATAAAAACCATCAGCAGTCAACGTGTTAAACTCGAAAATTTCATGATCGACATATTGATACCTCCCACACTGTATTGAAAAAAAAATATTTTTATACCATGAAATATATATGTATATAATAATTTAGTTCTAAATGTTATCCATATATAATTATAAAGTAATATCCACTGATTTAACTATGCGCTAAATTAAGCTCGGCTCGACTAATAAATTGTAGCGTTGTTGCCAGCGCAAGATCTTATGTCATTGAATTATCTTACAGATTATATCTATTGCAATTACAATATAATATACAGATCTGTTAACCCACATGTCAAAGGAAAGTGATTTTGAATTATATAGTTGTACATTTTGTAACATCCTTTTCTGCTTTGTAATTATGTTATGAAAGTAAGCGGAAAGGCGTATTAGTTTTCTAAGGCAGTATAATATATTAAACTTTGTATATATTTTCGATAATTATTCTAAATTAAAAATATGTTTAATGCTTATACGTTATGAATAATTATTTTCCACGTATAAACATATTATGACATTATTTGTTATTATTTAAATTCTCAAAATGTAATTTAAAAAGTGCTACATTTTCATAATGTAGCGATGTTGCTGTACATTTATCAATTGAAAAATTTATGTTTACGAATTCATTATTCAAATAAACTCGATTAAGTTGGAAATATTTCGATGAAGAAAAACTGATGTAATGAAACTAAATGATGATTGTGATTAACAGAAATATATTTTCCTTTGATTAAACATCGATTCTAATCGGTAAAACTTTAAATTCGAAAGAATCTTTAAAACTACCGCGCGTGTCATGAACTACTACACTGGTAACTTTACACATCTATGACCAACTAAAAAATTCGTTATACATAGAAGAACAAGACGCCAAAGATCGTAATAGTACGAGCAAAGGCAGTATGGCTTTTACTTAACATTAGTAATGTCATAAAATTTTCGTAATCTTAATGATACAAAGTCTATTGAATGTTTTTTGATTAGTACAGGAATGTTTTTTTTTGTGATCGATCGTTTATGTAACTATACCGTACTGATGCTTGTTTCTTCGAAGTTTACTTGCACGGATATTCTTTTGAAAGGTTGATTCATCGAGGAATAAGAAAAGACGATAAAGGGAAAACCATCGAAATGAATCGTGTCAAGAAACTTCTATCGAGTAAAGAAACTCGTGATTATTTGATGAGGTAAGCAACATAAAATTCACACTTGCATCGCTCACGTGTGCAACCGATTTTATTAATCGATATATAACTGTGTCTATTGGAGAGGAAAAAAGAATTTCTATACATGAAAAACGCTTTTTGTTTTAGTACACACTTTTGGGGACCAATAGCTAATTGGGGTATTCCAATTGCTGCAATCGCCGATATACGAAGAGATCCAGAATACATCAGTGGAAAAATGACACTCGGTTAGTTTGTCAATTTTAATATTTCCTATTACAATTAACGAACGTTTAAATTTCACTTATATAAATTTAATTTAATATAGTATAACATAAACAGAGACTTTAAATATTAAAATATCTAATAATTATATTTTTTATACACACGGTACGTAATAAATACATTCATAGTACGTGATACGTATACAGACGTCTATCCGGTTGGCTTCGTGTATTCTGAAAGTCTACAAATTATCTATAGTGTAATCCAATTAAATAGATATATTTCTAGCATTTATAATATCAACTATTATAATTAGGGTTAAAAAGTTACATTGTGTATGTTTAAGTATAGAGACAAAGGTATTATTAAATAATGAAAATTGCATAAGCCAACAGAAAATTTAACAACATTTACAAATTGTTATACTAATCTTTTTCAGCTTTGTGTTTATATTCAGCAATGTTCATGCGATTTGCACTCAAGGTTGAACCACGGAATTTGCTTCTCTTTGCCTGCCATTTTGTTAATGAAGGTGCACAGATGACCCAAGGTTTTAGATTCGTTAAACACCACTTTACACATAAAAAAGAATAATAGCAGATGAAAAAGGAATATTTATGAATCCTTAAAATTACAAATATTTTTAATTTTCTGTTCATAATTATTTCATATAATGTACATTATTGTGATTCACTATTATTTATAAATACAATCTAAAAATAATCTTAGTTACTTTTAGAATGAAATATAAATGTAAATATAATAATAAATAGTTCCTTTCTTTCGAATAGAAATTTGAGTACATAGAAATCGAGTGCCAAATATTAATAAGTCTAGTAAACAAACTTTAATCATTTTTACGCTGCAAATACAATAAAATAATGAGTTGGAAATGTAAACAAAGTAATGTATTACTTTATGCATGCCGATGAAAACATTAATCTCCGAACAATCGAGTTGCATGTGTTGCAATAGTTCTGCAAAAGGACAAAACTTTTGGTTTTATTTTATATTTGTTTATAGATTAAGTAATGTGTTTGTTTAAAATTAAAGCACAACTGATTGGCTATCTCCGTTTCGCTAAAATTTGATATTATATACATGTATATGCAATGTAAATTAATAAAAAAAACTGATTCTAGCATTTTTAATGTTGGGGATTATCGTCAATTCGCTTAACGATCGAGGAAAACTAATAAATTGTAAAATGAAATAATAGAAAACAAGTTATCGTGGTTGTGTATAGAATGTATTATCAAAATATAAAAGGTACAAAATATGTTTAAAAATTACACAAGTTGTAACACGACGATGTACGTCACGGCATAATAAATTCTCGGTGATGCTATTCGCGTACATTTGTATAAATTTCAACTGGACATACAGTATGTATGTGCGTATCTACAATTACAATGTATATATTTGTTTTTTACAATTGACGCTACACCGACCGTGGCGATACCGCCACGTTGGTGTAAATACGTTGAACGAGTTCTCGAAAAACTTTAAAAACGACGGCGACAGGTGATATAAGTTCTACACGAAACCTATCGGCGCCAAACAAAAGAACCTCGACTACACGTGTGGACGGCATACTGTTAAGATTTTATTACATTAAAGTGTTTTAAAATGACTATAATTTTCCAAGCCTTGGTTTATTGGACGGCATAATCAGTAAATTTTTATTTACTTTAATATTGCTTTAGTTCATTATTTATTTCTAATCAGGTAATAAAACATCGATGTGAGCAATAATATCCAGCTACTTTGGGCTGACGAAGCACCAGCTAATCGACATTTAAACATATCGTATCTAAAAAAACAAACACCAATTTAATTACATTGTAACATGTGTTGCACGTATATGATAACTGCCCACTGCACAACAATTTTATTTATTTATTTATTTATATATATATATATATATGTTTAATTACCTGGTTGCTTGATCGTTAACTAGATTATTGAATTCAGCCTCTACTAATTGGCCATCGTAATACGTAATTAAATCTTCAAATGGATATTCAAAACCTTGTTTACATTCACATTTATATCCACCAGTTTCGAAACCTCTACCCAGAATCGGTACGCACTGTGACAAAAAAAAGCGAAACGATTCTTGAATACAATTTCTGTATAGAATGACATTATTAACGAAACGTTAATCGAGACACGTGAACATTTATCTAGGTAGAATTTAATATCTTACGTATGACGTTTTCTTATCACATTTATGTGTACCCTTAAACGCATTGGGTGTGTAAAACACATCGTCGCATTGGTTGATGTCAAGCTGAAGCAGGTCCATAGTAACAGCTATAACACCTCTGTAAGGATTTTAATACAAAATGTGATCTTGCTTCTCTTCTTTCTTTGTAATAAAACTGGTTTTCTATCCGTATAGGGTATCTCACATTCAATTTCTCATGCACATACCACAACTCTGTACAGTTGTGTGCGTTGGACAGAAATACTTACTTGAATTCCAGTTTCTCTTTCAAGCTGTCCCAGCCAAAAAATGGGGATGCATAAGTAATTACCCATTTCTCCATTTTACCGTTACAATCAAAGTACGGAGTTGTCCAGTGACCATGGTTCAGGTTTGCGGCCCTGTACAGACGAACGCGTGTTCCCACACATTAAAATAAATCCTATTTGGGAGATCAAATTCCTTTTGCTTCTCGATCCCACAAATATAATCTCTTTATACTTTAATCGAATGATGTAGATTTTATGTAAGAAATTTATTATTTTAATGTATTATTTGCAATTACCTATAAGAATTTGGATAATGTTCGTATTTTTTTAAATGTTCTCCAGTTTCATTGTATCTAATTTTTATTTTCATATAATATTTCTCTAATTCGTCAAAATTTGTTGCCCATCTTTGTTTCAGTATTTGAAAATAATTCTTTTTAGTGTATACTTCGCCTGAAAGCATACACGTACGATTATAATATTTATAAGAATCCAAGTATTTTTTAGTAATTTCCATGTTACCTGTGTTATTGAACCTGGCTAAATCTTCGACTTTGAATTTTCGCGTGTTCAGTTGAGTTTTATAGGCATATGGGGCAAAGAATGTTCTATTTGTGAATTTGTTACGATCCCAAAATGTCCCAGCAGACCATATTTTCGTATCTCCGAGAACTAAAGCTAGAGTTTCTCCGATCATTTGATCTTCGGTAAGCGATCTGTCTGCTACTCTCTTACCAGAATAAACTTCATGGGAATCCGAAATTTGTAAAAAGGCACTGATAAAATTTGCCAATCGAGCCGCCATTTTTGCTTCATTTTCAAAGAATTCTTTGGCATCAAAACCTATGTCTCCGCGCAATGTTAACTCTTCTTGCGTGTAACTATAATTTTTACATTTTTAATCTTAGTCTCCGAATTTAATTAAAGGAATAATCACTTTATGCTTACTTTTTGCATGTTTTAGCATTTACGCTTAAGATAAATTTAAGGGCTTGATCTATATTTATTTTCTCAGATCTAAGAGCATCTGGTCCAAGAGAATAATTTCTGTAATGATAAAATTGCTCAAGGTATTGTTCTCTAAGATATGGATTTGCCTTTTCCCATTGTACTGGTGTCTTTTGGATCCCTGAAAAGTAAAATACATCATTCAATGCGCGATACGGTACGAAAAAAGAAACGAATGAAGGCAATAGGAATGAAACACGTACATCCTATTCTAGTGCAATCAAATCCATTATAATATTGTTCTTGAGTTGCCCTTTCTACAATTTCTCCAAGATATGGCCGTCGTACTACAGTAGGTAGCCTAAAACCTGGCTTACATCTGCATTGATATCCTCCCCTTCGAAAACCCCAACCATGTAATGGTTCACACTGCACGCGTAGCAAAAATTAAAATTGATAGAATCAAATTATTAAGTATAAAACATAATAGTTTCATTTAAGTTTAATACCTCTGTGGTTTCTGTTTTACATCGAGCAGTATTTACAAATCTATTTGGTCTAATGTTCCCTTCCCCTTTAGGACACTGATTTATATCTATTCTTTCAAAATCCATTTCCATTACAGATACTGCTGTATATCTGAATAAAAGATACATAATTTGAAAGGTAATTCAAACGAAATTCATTACTTTAAATCTGGCAATACGTATAAAACGTACGTCGGATACTCGATGTGTCTGAATCCTGTGTGTCTTGGATAAATGTCTGCGATAGGTACAACCGCAGCGATCAGCCATCGATTTGATCTGCCACAGTCAAAATATGGCCTAGTCCATCGTACAGGTCCAGGATATTCGTCCGCGCCTGTAGAAAATATGACGAAATAATTAAACACATAACTACCTTTGTTTCGATCGATCGTTTTTATTATTGTACCTGGTGGTCCATGAAATGTAAATGTTTCATTAGTATTATTAGCATACCGAATTTCAACTTGATAAGTGGTTTTAGTGTCGTGTCTTTTCTCAACATGATCTGGCAACCATTTTTTGTACCTAAATTCATAAACCGAATACATTAGAACGCATAAATAATCAGAGAGTTTGTTTAAATATCATTGATAAAATGTTTAGTTACCATTCATTTATCCGATGATAATCCGTTGTATAATCTTCGCTGAGACTACCGCTTGGAAAAGCTCCAAGATCTTGTACCGTAAATGTGTTTCTCGTGGATATTCTTTCCAAATGTATCGCATCGTTGAAATCGTCTGCTCTGAATGTTCTTGGAGCAAATCTGGGCATAGTCTTATTAAAAAAACCTCTGTAGGATGGGGAATAGGACATGTTTGGAGAGAAATATATAGCAGAGGCATTTATATGCGGATTCGAGGAAACGTCTGCAACTGTAGACAAGAAATAGTACATCATGCCCGGATCGTACGTATCGTTGATGGCTGGACGTATAAATCGTGACTGTAAAATGTAACTCCAGAAAAAAGATCTGCTAAGAGCCATATTATGAAGATGCAATAAAGCAGTTCGATTCGGAAACACGGGATTAATGTTAATGTCTTTGATATCGGGTAAATGAGAGACCGAGTCCTCTGGCAGGTAAAGATCTCCGAGATGTTGAATAAGACAATTATATTGATTAATCTTATCCATTCTTAGACGAATTTCATCAAAAGAATCTCGAATTTGCCATTCGTATTGTCCGACAACGCCCAAACAACAGAGGCACACGATCACCGTCACGTATTTTTTTAAATCGACAAACTCCATTTTTCGATAGGATAGAGTCGTTATTTATGTTTTATCATTCATTCCATTACTTCACTAATTCGATAGAACAGTAGGAATATGGAGTATTTGAGAAAACAAAAGAAATACGTAGCTTTTCTCCACCCAGCATTAATTCACAACCCACGCCTGAGTAACGCATTGACAAACGAGTAAACACACCCAATTCATCCGAATCGTACCATACGTTCGTGTTGTTTCGTAAATCCTACATGTTGCTTGAGCTTATGACGTCATCGATTCTATACCAAGTTGGAATTAACTTTTGATGTAAAAACTAGATTTTTACCAACAGACACGATGCGTGCCGGAAAATCCAACCGTCACCGGTCTAAAGGTACGAATAAAAAAATCTTAATGCATACACGAGTTTACGCATAAAGTGTTTACTCGTTTGTCGAAGATTATTCATCTATGAAAATAATTTTTCCTTGTTTGAATTTAGACAGTATCTTTATCAACAGGAACCAAGATGATAATAGTCATACAAGTATAAATAATATACAGCTTTTACGCTCAATGTCATAATTTTATTTTATTTTATTTCATTTCATTTCAGGACAGCATGCTGCAATCTTGATCCCTATTCTTTTATTCAAAGGTAAAAAGATCGTCGCGGAAGCTGTATCTACAGTATTTTCAGAAGAAAGAAGAAAAAGAACAAAACTATAGCTTAATATGAGATAACATTTAAATATTTTTTATTATGGTAATTCAAATAGCGCCCTGGTCCAACGACCCCCCAGGGGTTTGACTCTCCCAAGTACCTAAGTATTCCGCTCGCTGTGGCATTATTGTCCCAATACAGGTTCACCCCTATTTACCTACGAAAGAAAGAGAATTTCTCATACCTAAACAAGAATTTCGAGGAGACAACTTGCTGGGGGTCTCCTTCGTGCGGCTGCCCATGCTACTGTGGTTCCTGAGAAAATTTCTATGATCCCCGTTCACAGTTCAAGACTCTCGATATTAACGTGGGAAATAGTCTCCCGAAGGAGACTAATTATTCATCAAATATTACCGTCAGAAACAATAAATTTCTTTATGCACCACCATTCTTCTTTCGATTAAAATATTTTTGTTAAAAATATTTGAAAGTGACTATAATATTTACTGAAAATTCTCGATAATAATATTGATTTCATCTAAAAATTTGTCAACAATTTTCTTCCCGTAAATGGTAATGTAAATTGTCGTGTAATTTCTTTAATTAAACTGATTATTCGATCGTGTACCGTACTTGATACGACAATGTATTAAAAACGTGTATCGATAAGAATGAAATAGATTTTCAGATCAGCGACCATTTACAGGACTTTGTCTGTTAAACAAAATTCAGTAACCTTACGGTAAAAGAAACAACCGAGATGTATCGATGCATATTTTATAATTTCGAGGTAAATGATCTGACATGTATGTATTTTTCTACTCTAAAATCCCAACCTCCCACGACAATGGCTCCAGAGTCGAGCAAAAAATGCATTGTCTGCGGAGAGTGTAGACAGCTAAGTAATGAGAGATAGAACGAGAGACCGGATCACGATAGAAAAGAGGGAGGAAGAAAGAAACAAGCAATGCAATGATTAAGTAAAATATAATTGAACGATATTCAATAGTCGAGAGATTGTAGATCGTTTTTGTATCGATGGTTAATTTTTAATAGGCAGGACATTCAGACGAATAAAAATAATTGTTAAGAAAACGGAAAAGTTCCGAAGGAACAGGTTTCTGCAAGCGAGTGTGCAAGCATTACCTTTCTTTGTTGCTCCTTCTCGTTCGAGGGACGCGGGTGCGTGCTCAACCAGACAGGCGGTTTACGGTTGAATTCAGGACCGTATCATGTTGTCTGTACCCTGTTCTCCTATATTGAATATCACCCACTATATTTAAAGAAAACTAAAAACAAATTGCATATCGTTTTCTCAAGTATGAGAGTACCGATGATTTCATGATTATGATATTCATATTTCGATGCGAGTACAATCGACAGCAAATGTAAAATACTATATAAAATGTTTCATTCGCGTGGCTACGTAAGTAAGTAAGTAGGTATACATACATACATACATACATATGTATGTACACCAGCTACCAAAAAATCGCGTGCGCCTATGTATGCAGAACACCTACATAGTACTTTATCCTCTTACCGTTCCTTGACACTATCACGTTAACCTTCTGCAAGTCCCTAAATTTTCCAACGTTACAGGAATAAGACAATAAGATTGAATATTCATACCATTTCATTCTTTTACTTTTCGATGTATGTACTTGGACGAGATAAATTTTCAATCGAGACAATAAGAGATTGTATGTTTAGTAGTGTAACTATTTATAACAAATATAAATTTGAAGTATGTACATACATATATCGAGAGGTAAGAAAAATAGATGGTTTCGTAATTTATGTAATTATTCTATACGTAGAATTTTACTTATTTCCCTATGCGTGTAACAACCAGTGTAAGCCACTAAAATTTTGTACAAATATTGGGCAAAAGTGGTATGTATTGGTAAACTATTGGCATGTAATGTTTGATACATTCCTTGATATTGCTTATAATTCACGGTAAATCAAATTGTCAATTGTCTGCGCGTTGTTCCAATATTTTAGCGCTCTTTATTCGATCACACGCACAATACTTACACACATATGCTGCGTTAGGTTACAACTAGAATCATAAAATAATAATTTGTATAATCGTAAATTAATCATGTTTCTTTTAAATATCTTTTGTTATACCGTTAATTGGTTAAAGAGCATAAAATATGTGACGATACGAAGAAATAGGATAATAAGAGCCGAAAGAACATATGTACTATGTAAATCGTTGGAAGAAACGATTGAGAAAGACTCGAGGAAAATACGAGTGATTGTTGAACAAAACTGGGAACAAGCGACAGGGAACCAGAGGACAGTTGCGACGAGTCTGACTAAGGCGGGGCTCGCATATACCGCGAAGAGAGGTAAGCGGTTGAATCGGATTGGATTGGGGCGCAACTAGCAAGCGAGCGAGGAAACTGGTTTGGTTTTGTGGGGCTTGCACCACTGCACCGCTCTTTCAGCGAGACAGTCCAATTTATGCATTACGGCTATGTAGGCACTACACGATATCAAAACGCTGCGCCCGGGCTTACTCCACTTACTGTCATCATCGTTGCAATATTATCAGAACTTTGCAAGTGCCTACAAGACTAAATTCACTGCATTACATCTTCTTTGGTTCTACAACAAAGTGTTTATATTTTTTTAAACATATTAGAACACAGTGGCATATAATAAACCGCGAAAGTGAAGCGAGATACACAACACGTTTGAACACGCGTTAACATTGGTGGAATCCGGAATATGAATTTTATATCAGTTAGAGGATTGTGACTGTTTTGTGACGTATCTGGTGCTCCGTCATATAATTTGCTCAAAATTAATACTGTGAAGATTTCGAATCTCGTACAGGTACCATTATTTTTATATTGTATAATCGTTTCCTTTATTTCGTCGCAACGAGAATCCGAGTACATGTTTTCGTATCAAATATACTTATTATACGTACCTACGCGTATACTGATTTTTCATGGAGTCGTCGTATTTAAGAGGTTATGGTATTTGATGCCGACTCGGTTGTTGCACCTGTGGGCAACTTTTTTGCGTTCCTGTTGATTTCTTTTCTTTTTCTATTTATCATTTCTTAAAAAGTAATATAGTAAAAATATTTTATATAACGTATGTATATACGAACACGAGGCACCCGGAGTTATCGTAGTGCTCGAATATTGTCGATACGAAGTAGAAATTCTCGCTGGAACTGAGGATTTATATGCAATCACTTTTTACTATAGAATTTCGAATTGGAAGAAGTTTGTGTAATTATTTAATATTTTTTATTCAGTACTTGTGGCGTACGAAAGTAATAATTTCGAAAAGTAATATGGACAAAATAGATTAAAAAAGAGTAAATTTTAATAGGCTCGTGTGTTTCTATTTTTAGTTTAATTCAATTATTCTTTTACTTTCATACATTTCAACTCGAGTTACCATTGAAAATATTAGTATTTTCGTGTTTAAATTCTGCATATCGGCTGAAATGAATATATTTATTGGAACAGTGTAAAAGTTCGTTAAACATAACGAACACATATGTATACGCTGCCAATATTCCAGAGGCATTCCGTACATCCGGAGATTGTATTGTTTTGAAAAAGGAGTCGAAGCGAGTGGAAATATTTAGAAAAACCAGTATATGAGAATGATTAAAATTCACATATGGAAAAGGCTACGTAATGCCTTGTGTACACGATTCAGTTGCGAGATTCATTATTTTATACAAGTGCATACTACACGGTCAACTTTTTCTTCTCGGTTTTTTGCACGAGCCAATCAGAATTCGCGAATGCGCCTCAAAAGAAAATGGCTAACTCGTGTCGCTGGGTTCGAGCGTATCTTTGCGCGTCGTTTTGTGAACCCCGTAGTCTGCAATCACGTTGACGTCTATCGCCATTTCCTCGCAGGAGGATTTCGTTCATTTACTTTCTAAGGTATACGCAACTTTTTCGGCCGCAAGACTTGTGAATCTTTTTTGTTGGCGCACTTTTCTAACAATGTGTTTCTAAACGCGAGTGGAAATTCATTGATTAAAAAGGCATGTGTTGATGTTATCGTGAGTGCAAAAGTGCATCGCATTCTTCAAGAAATATGGATGCAGTTCCATTGCCGGCCGGCAAGCTACACGCACAAAATTTCAATTGTAGTTCTCTCGGGTTCTAAGTTGTGTTTTATACGTTCGAATGCATTATTTCAGGCTATTTCGTTCTGATAATTAAATTATCGTGCCGAAAAGAATTCTTTTATGAACGACAGAAATTTTTTTTACTCTAGATTTCAAATTGAGGAATAGATTATAAAATGTCATCAATGATAAATTAGGAAAATTGAACAAAATTTTTTGATTTATCGGTTCCTTGTACGTCGAAGGATACGTGATATTTTGAAAACAACGTGGCTTCTGTTCGTTAACGCGGGAAATTGTATATTCCACTCGTTATGTGGTGTCGGAGGCAGATGGTCGGACCTTAGTTTCGAGTGTTCGTTGCGTTTCCTGTATTTTTTATATAGTCCATTTTTGCTTAGGACTCGCGAGAGAACTGTTCAATTTTTACGTATTCTTAAACATATCTTATGGTTTTTTTTACGTCAAATGTAATTTTTTAATTGTTTTTTATTTTTTATGATACGTGTTTAATCGATCTTTTATACAAACAGTATTTTTAGCTGAAAAGTCTAAGATTGCATTACGAGTTGTGTTAAAGCATAATTTCATATAGGTATCTGGTAGAAGTATTATTTAAACTATACGAAAAGCTCCAATAGTTTACTGTTTTGCTATAATAAACGGGTCATGTCATTGTGTTGCGAGAAATATGTTTCATGAGACTAATAATATACTTAATGTCGATTTTGTATTTTCGTTTATCGATATTAGATATTATTTATGTATATAGTAGAAGAAAATGTTAGAACGGTACATTTTTAAAATATACAAAAGATAACATAGCATAGAGAATGTGTTAAATGTTACAGAACGAATAGTAATTTAATAATTTACCTAACATTTTATATGTAAATACATGTTTCATTTTGTATCATAAAAAGTTACGTCGAAAGTATAATTACTTTTTCTAGCTATGGCAGAAGGAAATGGGGAAATAAAAATGGAAGAAAAACAGTCTAAAGAGGAAATGGAATATGTAGAAAGAACAGAAGACTTTTCAAAACTAATCCAATACGGACTGGATGAAAAAGTAGCTGCAAAATTGGATGAAATTTATAAAACAGGAAAATTAGCTCACGTGGATTTGGATGAAAGAGCATTGGATGCTTTAAAGGAATTTCCTGTCGATGGCGCGTTAAATGTACTCACACAATTTCTGGAATCAAATTTAGAACACGTATCAAATAAATCTGCGTACCTTTGTGGTGTAATGAAAACATATAGACAAAAGAGTAGAGCTGGTCAAGGCACTAGTACCAGCACAACTCCTAAAGCACCAGACGAGGATAAAATAAAGGTAATCTTATATCTTGTCGATACAGAATTTTTACTATTACATTTATAAATTGCATGGGTGGTAAAAAACTGTATGAAAATCTTCCAGATGATTCTCGAAAGAACCGGTTATCCTCTGGATGTAACAACGGGACAAAGAAAGTACGGAGGGCCTCCTCCAAACTGGGAAGGTCCTACACCAGGAACCGGTTGCGAGGTAAGTAAAGTTTATTCGCGTCTACCTTGATATGTATTTCCCATTTTTAAAGCGAAGGTACAATTGGAATTAATTTTTTGGTTTTTATGTCAAATACGCGGTTGTTTTTTCAAAGGTGTTTTGTGGAAAAATTCCAAAAGATATGTACGAAGACGAGTTGATTCCATTGTTTGAAAAATGTGGAAAAATTTGGGATTTAAGACTAATGATGGATCCAATGGCAGGTTGCAACAGAGGATATGCATTTATCACTTTTACTAACAGGGAAGCAGCACAGCAAGCTGTTAGGGAGGTATGTAGACATTCTCTGATTTCTTTATTATTGCGTAGGTACGTGTTTGTGAAGCGTACAAATTCTGTTACCCTAGTTTACGATATCTTGCTATGGACAGATCGATTCCCTTCACTTTTATTTACAAAATTTTTAGAAATGTTACAAAATTGTTATTGCTACCAAAATATGTGGTCATTCGAAATGTTTAAATATTATGTATAGTACTTTTTTTCATCTTTTTGTTGTTTTTCCATTTCATGGTTTAGAGATTATTTTATTAAGTTTTTCATTCATCATAGTCGCGCTTGATTCAAAGCGAATAAGTTCAGTTTTGTTCGTATAAAATTTTAATTATCGTTTAGCTTTTAATATTTACTATTTCGTTGATTAAATATAATAAACGAGTTTTATGGTATTAAATTCTGCTCTACTTTCTTTTACAATTTTGCATTAAACATTTCGAACGAAGTTTTTCATATTCCCATGTGGCTTGTTCTATGTTGTCACTTGCGTTTTCTCGCTTTTTTTTCCGGTAGTTTCAACGCAAATGTCTTAGCATTGTTTCACTAATGGTAAAAAGTAACGAAATTTTAAAATTCAATGTTTTTAGTTAGGAACAATCCACATATTTGTCTCATATGCGTACATATATGTCCCTGACCATCGATTCATGTTTAAGTACATAATTACATCCAACGCATTCCTAAATATTTATAAAGTACTACACTGAAAACAGTAAAACATTGATGCACACGCACACGCACACGCGCGCACACACACACGCACATATATACGTACATACATGGATACATACATACGTACACGCCGACAATCAATAATATACGCATACTTACATGCATAAAAACGTATGCACGCGCGTATACATGCACATATAGATACATATACCATCCATACGCTCACTCACGCACACACATACTATACATATACATATACATACACACGTACGTACATACATTAATGATATCCTATGGATGAGTTTCTTTTTCCAGCTCTCCTCTTTGCTCAGTGGGCAAAATTGGGAGTGGAGAACCTTCCTGAATAATGACGACGAAAAAAAATAAAAAAAAAATAAATAAATATATATATACATAAATATATATATATATATATATATATCTATATATCGTGTGGTCTAATTGGTTAGGGGTATATTTACCTAATTGGTTAATTTTCATTGGACAGTGACAATTTTTGTAACAAAATTTTGAAAATTGGTAGGCTTAAAATTTGTTTACAGGAGCACATGATACGTGTACGCCGGTTTCCTATATTGTGAAGACTCGAGCGACAAAGCGCATGCCACTTTCTCGCTTTCATGGAACCACGCCATGTTAATTATTTCACTAAATTGCACATTTTGAAAAAATTTTCCTAAATTTTCTCCTGTTTGTCGCAATTACATAAAAACACGAAGTATCTCATTGGAACAATATTAGGCATGTGTCTGTTTTCTTCATCCCACAGCTCGATAATCACGTAATAAAACCCGGCAAGAATCTGAAAGTAAACATTAGCGTTCCTAATCTACGACTTTTCGTGGGGAACATACCAAAGTCAAAAGGCAAAGAGGAGATCTTGGAGGAATTTGGTAAATTAACAGGTAAAGTGAATTCGAGGCGTGTGTACCTACCTATCTACCTATACCTACCTGTCTACCTGTATTGTAACTTACGAGTGGTAGCTTTTAAGTAGTGGTTGTAGATGGTATGGAATTATGGAGCATCCAAGAAAAAAAGACGATCGCGCGTGTGACCGTGCGATCTGCGATATAACCTGTGGCACCTTCAGTTCTGGTCAGTCTCCTTGCCTCTCGGTTTATTAGTGAACAGTAACACCTCTCTGGTCCAAGTCTTCTTTTCCTCGCATATTTAGGTTGAGTTATGAGTTAATCGCTTCCCAGTTTTATTCATCATCATCATCATCATCATCATCATCATTATGTCCCTAAATCATTTCTTTCTCATTTACGTCCATTCATTTGCCTTTTGCTGTTTTCATTTTCTCTTGATTATTCTCACTGTCATCGCTGCCGCCGTTGTGCCGCTGTCGTCATCGCTATCATCAACCGTCGTTTAACCGCTACCGCTGAAACCATTCATCGCTACCATCACTGCGATGAATGTCATCCGTCTATCCTTTTCTTTTCCCATCTCCTTGGTCTTTATCCTACAACCATTTCTCCTCCTCCTTCTTCTCCTCCTCCTTCTTCTCCTCCTCCTCCTCCTCCTCCTCCTCCTCCTCCTCCTCCTCCTCCTCCTCCTCCTCCTCCTCCTCCTCCTACCGCTATTATAATTTCTGCTAATTTCACCCGAGTTGTCCTGATCTTATATGTATTTCACGGTCGATTCGTCGATCTTCTTGCCTATATCGATGTACGTCTTCGTGTTCTCTCTTTTGTTAGTAAAAATTCGATAAAGAGACGAAGGATCTGAAAGAGAAAATGTGGAAGCACCAGAGCACGATTATTCTTATCGTTGATCGTGTAGAATGATTCGAATTGCTATAAAGTACCGCGCGCTGTCTCACGTGGTTACTTAGGAGTTTCTCGCGACACACTAAAACGCGATTACATGACTGGGCCTCGAGCATGGGGGTATGGGAGATTTGCGTGGACCGCTGGGGCGTTTGGCTCGCTAACAAACGGACAGGCACTCCCATCTACCTACCCACTCATCCATCCGACCAACCCATACACCTGCTCATCAACCCGAATTACTAAGTTATTCCTTCATCTCTTGCCTCTACTATTCACAATTCCACGATCCTCGGTAAACATTGCTTGCCCCGACCCCGAACGTACGATATGTACAAGTCTCCCTGAAGGTCGCTTCACGAAATCCCACGTTCAGACAGCCAATAAGCAGGTGAAATTATAAAAGGCAAGCTTAATTGGCACTCTCCTTCCACATTATTCTTACAGCTGAATGATTATGAGATTCGGAAAGGGAAAAAGATTGGTGTTACCGTATCTTATAACAATCACCGCTTGTTTGTGGGAAATATTCCAAAGAATCGAGACCGAGATGACTTGTTCGAAGAATTTACAAAGCACGCACGTAAGTTGACAATTGTCCTTAAATCAGCAAGCAGTAACCAAAGGAAGTTCTATGGGAAAGATGGTGGGACAAAACTTTTAATCTCTTAACGATCGGCTGTTTTTACTCCATTTTGAGGTCAGACCTGTCAGATAGGTTTGTTTTCAGCCCTCTTGCATCGTTAATTAACTAGGCAAATTTCTTTCCAAAATTTGGTATATACCACGCGGTAAAGACATTTCTCACCCCTACATACATTTCGCGCGTGTTCTCGCAACAGAATCCCAACAAACTTTATTTTTAATTTCCATCTAGAATTCTTGGCTTTGTGATTCCGTTTTCTTCTTCCTTCATATTATTCATTAATTTTCTAACGAATAAAAAATGCCTGTAATCGACTAACGGTGTCCCTGTACTAAGCTGTGCCCCACAATCAAGGAAATTTTTCGTCGGTTCGTATATTTTCGCCCCTCTTTATATACGTGTATTTTAATTTCTGCTTCGCGTCTGTTTTTCTTTCTTTTTTTTTTTTTAATACCACCGTTCCACTATATTCCACGTTCGTGAAAGAAAAGAGATTTTTCTCATTCTCTTTCAATTGATTCTGGGACACATGAAATTACAAGAAGGGCGATAAATAGTAAGCGAGAACGTAGAAAAACAAGTAATGCACAGTGTCGTCTAAAATTCTAAAAGAGAAAATCGTTCCATATGCATATTACGATTTACTGGTCAGCGGTAGGAATACAACGGGAAAGTTTCTATTCTTTTCTCGAACGTTTTCACATTTCCAGATTGATGATTTGTTACCGACGCGATAGGTCAGATCAGAGTGATTGAAGCGAATGTGTGTGGTATTTCTCACATTTTCAGTGTGTGTTTGCATAGCATTCTTGCATGTAATATTAAAGTCTGGACACAGAGAGGAGATAAAGAATAAAAAAAAAAAATGTTTTTTTAAATATACAAAGTGGGGCATTAATGTCGGATTCACGAGGCACATAAGGTGGTTAAAGTTGAATATACGAATTCATTGAAGGAAGAGATGGCGACAGGGCATCTGAGTTTTCTTAACGATACATTAAAACATTCAATTTACTCTGAAGAATCGAGAAACGAGCTGTACGTTTTTTTCTTTCTTTTTTTGTTGTTGGGAGGGGGTGTATTTTAAGACGAAACGTCGGTTTGTTTGCGTCGGACGCCTTGTTTTCCAAGTGCATACATACACATACATACACACATGGCACACACACATGAACATATATGTATACTCAGCTTTTAAACTGAGAGGAAGGAGAGAAGAACTATGTTTTAACGATAAGATCAAAGAATAGGTAGCGATAAATAGATAAATAACGTTTAGAAGCGAAACACTTGTGTTCGAGTATTCTTACAGAAGTTTCCTTGTTTAGTCACGAAGATCAGTTTGTTACGATATCCATCGGTCGTGCGTACAAATCCCATACCTGACTCTAATCGAAAACCGTTCGAACGAAAATTCTGTTTCCTAGCGTCGATTTTACTATGGATTCGTGATTCAGTCGCTGCAGTGCATGTAAATTTTAATAGCATGTCAACTATTCTATTTAATGATTCTACATTCTGTTTCAAATCGTATTACATATCCAACGAGTAAAAGAAAGCGTTACGCTTTTGCAGAGTACGCCGATAATATTGTTTGTCTCGGTGGATTTGATTAGCCGACATAAAAAGACTTACCGTTGTGCCGTATTCATTAAATACGAATAGAGCTTGGCATATTTTTTTTTCTTCTAACAATTGTTAACGATACTCCTGCGTATCAGAGTGCTTTTCTAACGGTTACGAGTATTCCTATGGTTTTGTTTTTCCAGGCGACACAACGATGTTCGTTAGTGTTTCGTTCGGTAACGTTTACTATCTTTCCCACTTCCTCTGTACTTGGATCCTGAAAAAGGTTTGCCCGTTCAGCTGAGTTTCGAACGAAAATAATGTTTCGAGCGATAAACTGACCAGTACGTTTGCTATCCTCGGTCTACGAGTAGATGTTGTGTCGAGTGTTTTTTTTTCTTCTCAAGCTTTTGTTCGTAAGAAGGATATCTTAAATGCGGGTTTTTACACTTCCAAGAAGAACTACGTGTGCGTATATACGATATGTACGGATGCATGTTGCGTATATAAATACACGTATACACGTCACGTGGAATAACACTCGCGCGTATACACATTACGATTACGGTTCTATCATTATAATCGAACGACAATTTCGACAAATAACTAAAGATTAATCTTCAAAGAATCTATATTGTCAGGTTTTAAGAGTAAAGTTACGTGTGTTCTATTTACTTTGTTCTTATGGCCTAATAATATACGATATTTGGACGTTTATCGATTGATATTCGATCGAGTAAACGGAAAGTACTTTGCTTTTATTTTATTTATAAAGATTATCCGTAATGTAATTCGTGTACGCGTTACAATGCGATTACGAGAGTTGGTATGTGTGCGGGCGTGTTGACGCGCGCGTGTCGGGTGTATGGCTATGTGTGGTGTGTTTTGTTTTATACACGCGTGCGTATGTACTCGCCCAGGGACCTGACAGCTACATATATATACGCTGCTGGTACCACGTACACACATCGCGTTTTCAAAATACGTAAGAGATATTGTTTTTTTTGTCCAAGTATCGATCTAGCGGGAGGGAGGAGGGAGGAGGGAGGGGGGGGGGGGAAGAAACACAATTTCTCGCATGTGACGGATTTTTCGAACAGCGCGTGTGCACGTGGTACCGTACATGTGAGTATCGGTTGCGAAAAAAAAACAAATGGAAAAGTAATGAAAATGAAAAGATGTCATATTTTGTGTGTCGAGGTTTGACAATTTCAGAATCAGAATTTCGCAGTGAACGAACGAAAGTTTGAGACTTTGGCCGTGTGTTTACCGAGCTGCGAACAAATAAATTAAAGAAATAACTGTATGTTGCGTGTTCGACGGATAACGAATTGTTGGAATGTAATTTGGAGGAGTTTGGTAACGCGGCAAAGTCGCGAACACTCGTATTTTGGCTTCTTTGGATGACAATTTAGATACACTTTGTGCATCAGTAGTATAAAGTTGGAAGAATATCCGAATGCTTTTTAGGTAAAGATAACTATCTTTGACGCAAAACGATTATTTCCCTTCTCGATCGTGCTGTCACTTTATTATCTTTCGTGAAACAATTCCGATATTTCTTAGCGGTCAATCGAAGCGTTTACGCATAATATTTTTAATCTGATATTTCGATACATCATACGTATTATCGAATTAGCTAATTAGATGACAAATTTGACACGTTTTAATTTTTTGACAACTTCTTTTTTTCATTTCCTTTTTTTAAAATGTTTCTTTTTTTTTCTTTTTTTTTTCTTTGACCCTCAGTTTTACTTGTTTCCCGTTTTTCCATCCTTTCTATTTTTTGTCCTATTTATTTGAGTATCGCTAACGCCGATAGCATAGTTAAATAGTATTCTACGGACACTTTTTTTACCGTGTCGAAGAAAGTACGAAAACTCAACCGGCATTAAATAATCGAGTGTTGCAATTTTTCTTATTCGCGCTTATTTCTTCAACTTTCTTTCATTACCATTATTATTATTATTATTATTATTATTATTATTATTATTACTATTATTATTTTCCTTTAAACGTAGATGTACATATTCGTTATACTCTCGTCGTATCCGATAAATTTTATTGATCGCTTTTGTATAATTTTTCGTCGTACAGCTGGCCTGACCGAGGTGATTATCTACAGTTCACCGGACGATAAGAAGAAAAATAGGGGTTTTTGCTTCTTAGAATATGAATCTCACAAAGCAGCTTCCTTAGCGAAACGAAGACTAAGCACCGGTCGCATCAAGGTGTGGAGCTGTGATATCATAGTCGACTGGGCAGATCCTCAGGAAGAGCCAGATGAACAAACCATGTCTAAAGTAAATACAATATGACGCTATAAGGGGCAGAATTTCATTTGTTTGTCAACGGTGGTGTCAGTGAATTTATTTATCTATTGAATGATGTGTTTCAGGTGCGCGTACTGTATGTAAAGAATTTGACGCAAGATTGTTCCGAAGAAAAGTTGAAAGAGTGTTTCGAAGAATACGGTAATATCGAAAGAGTGAAGAAGATCAAGGATTACGCTTTCGTGCATTTTGAAGAACGAGACAATGCTGTTAAGGTAAGAATTGTTTTATCGATACAATATATCCAGTTAAACCTTCCGTCCTCACATTCTTTAATATAGAGGTTTCTAAACTTTTTTTGAAAGCTTACGGCCTCCGAAATTATTCGTACCTTTGTGCGCACTAGATGACGGATGAAGATGAAAGTATCGATACCAGCATCGTTCGCTGCTCGTGAAACGAAACCAAACGATTAATTGTGAATGTTTGTTTCAGGCAATGAACGAACTAAATGGAAAAGAAATCGGAGGTTCTCACATAGAGGTATCGCTCGCGAAACCACCGTCCGACAAAAAAAAAAAAGAAGAAATGCTTCGTGCAAGGGAGCGAAGAATGTTACAAATGTTGCAGGGTCGGAGCGGGTTAGTTGTTTCAAATAGTTTTCAATAATTTTGTTTCGGATTAATTGAATTTAACGACGCAAGGATCTTTTATTCTCTCGTCGCAGCCTTTTGTTTACACATTAATAATAATAATAATAATAATAATAATAATAATAATAATAATAATTTCCATTGTAGAGGTTCCCCGTCGCATCCGAGTATGATGGGAGGACCGATGCCAGTTCGCGGACCTGGCCAGGGTCCTCGTGGCACTGGTGCAGGTATGCGAGGACAAATGGGACGAGGCGATTATGGTAAGTACTGATTAAATTCTTTATTAATCGCGATTCGTTGGTATTTCCAGACCTACCCAGAAACTCTATTTTATTTAAAAAATATTATATATATATATATGTAATAAAAACACAATTTGATCGCATTTCACCGTCCCCTTAACAAATACTTTTGTAAAAATGCAACGTGTACGCGTACGTGCACGTGTTTGTTCCCATCTAATGAAATAACGGTTTGTTTTCATTTTTTTTCTTTTCGCTTGCAGTCAGTTTTCGTTTACGTTAGGCTTAGACCATAACGTTGTTTTACGTATCGATCCGGTATTCGTTCCTTTCTTAATACTGTCATCAAATTGTCGTTTCTTTAATCGATATATAGATTATGCGCTCAGATGATGCAAATACACTATACAGTTAGAGTAAGATGTAGTATATATATGAATATGCAATAGAAGTGTCGTTTAAATTGACTAGAATTGAAAGAATTTTAATTAGCGCACGTAGAATGCTAAAGATAGCAACGGTAAAAGAATTAGATACACAACGATCAAAGAATTTGCCGATAAACTTATCGATAGATTTAAAAATATTAATACTTTATTTTTCAGATTAAATAAACACAAATCATTGTTAGATCATTTATAACGATGTTTTATGGTAATGTTATGTAACACAAACATCCCGCATGCTTTTGGGGATTTTTCACTATCTCACTACATACCTTGGCTTACGCGCATGACACGTCAGAATCTTTTTAGAAAAGCAAATGTAACAACGGCAAATGACAGTACCATCTAAAATATTTTCATCTTGACTTCTATCGAGAAAACCACGTTCTCATTACTCGACATCTTCGATGATTGCTGTCGTACAGAAATCTTATCGTAGAAACGAATGTAAACGAGTCGTAAGTCTCAACTCTGTAAATGTAGAAATGATTTTTACGTATCTCGATGCGTTTCGTACGAAACTTATGTAAATTTCACACTGTATCGTGTTGGAAGGTTGTAGTGAGAAAGTGCTCAGATGATGGAACACTCCTATTTCATTAAAACTAGTATTTTTTTTATTTTTCTATTCGTACAGTGTTTTTTAAAAAATTGTTTATCTCGTCGACTGAATTTGGTCTGAGCCTACCATTTTCATTTTTTTCAATTCGGTTATTAATTTCTTTGTTATCGTTACTTTCGTCGGTATTTGACGCGTAATTTTTAAGAAATATCGTGCAACGAACCAAACTAGCAAGCTATTTTAGAGAAAATTCAGCGAGTTCGTATTAATTGAAAATTTAACCAATTTTCTTTCATGTACTTTCATGCATATGTACGTTCATACATACGTATGTATGTATGTATGTATGTCAGGTGTGGCTTAACGTTGTAATAAGAGCACCTTGTTGCCTTACCACTACCACTTCCTGTGACACCTGTTTTCTTTTTTTTGTTTATATATATATCTATATCTATATATCTATATATCTATATATAGTTAGATATATAGATATTTTACAGAAAAATAATTGCATGTGTATTGTTTGTTTTGTATTTACGTATTATGGTGCCCTAGTGAGAGTTATTTTGCGGCAAGTGTACAATCACACGCATTGCCAACGACTTGAACCTATTATTTTTGTTTTTATTTTTCCCATTTTTTGTTTGTTTACGTTGTTTGTTCTATTCCAATTTACTTAAGCGTGTGTATTTCGTTGATTTTGTATGCATCATAAATTCAAAAATTTGTTTACAGCTCTCATGGAAATAGGTAAGATGCGATATCGAATGACGAGTGGAACGTAGTAGAGTACCATCTGTAGACTTGTGTATTTTTCCCCTTTTGAATTATGCTCAACGTTGAGAACATCGTACGCTATCGGATCCTTGAAAATTGAAGAAATACCGAACATTTATCGTTTTCATATATATGTATACCTTTTTTACATTTTATACCTATTTGTTAAATTTCAAATTAAATGTAAAATGTGTACGAGCTTAACAGAGGCTCGGTCCGAAATATTTCGAAATTTTCGGCGATCCGTACGAAGCGTAGACTCTATCAGGATACGTGATGGTGGTAGGGTAATCGTTGCGAAGTTTTTTCTTTGCCAGTATCATAATAAAAAGAAAAAGATATTTAATTTTATATCACGATGACTTGATTAAACCGTTTTATAGTTTGTTTTCTGAGTAACGATCGTAACGCTACACGGATTTACGAAATTTTTCTTTTCTTTTTTTTTTCTATTATTGGAGTTTCAAAACCATCTTTTCCCGGCATGCCTTTTCTTATACGAAACACAAGTATTAGTTTTTGAATAAGTTGTCAATTGGATATATTATCGTGGCTAAATTTGGGTCTATTTGTAATGTGTGTTTTTATAGATTATGATTACGAGTATTACGGTTATGGGGATTATCGAGGTGGCTACAGTGATCCATATTACGATGACTATTATCGATACGAAGATTACTATTTCGATTACGCGCCGCCTCCGCCACCTGCCAGAGGGAGAGGCAGGCAGCCTCAACCGGTGGGTCGCCTTTTTTAATCGTTCTAAAGTCGTTGCCGTTCTTGAATCATTATTACTTTTAATATGATTCGTGTATGTATGTGTGTGTGTCTGTATACGTGTATATACATTCGTTCGTATACATGTGTATATATGTGTATGCAAATATGCACACATCAGCGGTAGTTTGACTGTGGCACAGTGTTCACGGATAATCCCAATTACATTACATGATCCACTTTACATCTCCAGAAACGCCTGCTCACTTCATCGTTTACTAAGAGAGTGTTCTCTTTCATTCTTTTAATTTTATTTATTTATTTTTTTTTTCTTTTTTTCCCTCTTTTTTTTCCTCTTTTTTTTTTATTTTTTTTTAACTTTTTCCTAACTGCCGATGTAAGTATACGTATAGGCATACATGTGTACATAACTTAAAAGCGTGTGTCTGTGCATACGTAGCATCCCACCTACGTATAACTATCTATAACATTCTTTTTGTGATGCGTGCGCTATTCCTCACGTATGTACGGCTGTATGTTTGTGTTCTGTTTCATGGGCGTGTGTTAATATGAATGCTCTATACATATATGCATACACGAGCGTGTTTGTTCATTTTGCGTGATGCATTACTAATAGTACCAAGGACACGCGAGTTCGGTATTAGTTCCGAACGAGTGGAGGACGTTGCACTGCATTTTATGCATTAACAGTGTGTACAAATTGTGCGGAGGAATAAGCGATTAATGAAATTGAGTGCAATGATTTTTTTGACATTGTTTCTCTGTTGCGACAGGAGAGAGAGCGAGAGAAAGGTGTGTGTATGTGTGTATGTGGTTGTGTGAGTGTGAGTGTGAGTGAATGAGTAAGTGAGTGAGTGAGTGAGTGAGTGAGTGAGTGAGTGAGTGAGTGAGTGAGTACATTTATGCCTGTTGTGTGTACACGAATAGCAGAGAAGGATTGAACGAGAATGAAAGTGTCGGAGGAAAGTGAGTCGCACACTGTGCGTGTTAACCGTGTACGAACCCATTTTTAAGTCCTGATTACGTGTATCTACTTACTAATATCATTGCTTACACTAACGTAGTCCTGTAATCCGAACACATTGCCACTTTCAAATTGCTTGCCAATCATATCTGAGCCATAGTAGACCCATTCTAAATTTTTCAACGAAAATACAGCCGGGAAAAGCTATTAGAAAAAGGAAAGTAAGAGAGAAGTGGAAAATAAGTAAGACAAGCGGTCAAACGAAGTTACGTTGTTTACGAGAGAGCGAGAGAGCGAGAGAGAGAGAGCGAGAAAGAAAGAGAGGGGGACGATACGTAAAAAAGGCTTAAATGATTACGAGTCTCTCTCTCGAGTTTTTTGATCCTCCTCCACGAGAAAGGAAAAACAAGGTTGCAAGTGTTTTTTTAGCGTCGTAGGTTTCCCTAATTACTATATGTCCATCACATTTATGTAAACGTTTGATGAAATTCCAGCCGTAGGCAGAAAGCACGTAGGAAAAGCTCGTATTGTCTTTGTGCGTCAATGCGTGAAATATATTTATGTATATATTATGTATGTACATTATATTTTACACGCGACTACACACGCGCGCGCACAAATACATTATGTGTACGTAAAAATGGCGTTCGTCGAGTCGATGACGTTCAATGAACATGTACGTTTGTTTTCTCTTTCCGCAGAGAGCGACGTGCGTCTCGTGGCTCGGATATGATACGCATAGATAGATATATATATATATATATATTTGTATGTCAAGTTGCAGGGTTATCCAAATACCGTAAGAGGGCATTGGGCACCCTGTGAACATCATTACGACAATGCCATCATTACTTTAATTTGACCGACTATAGACTCACCGACTGACTAACAGAGTGATTAGATAGATAGATAGATAGATAAATAAATAGATAGATAGATAGATAGATAGATAGATAGATAGATAGATAGATAGATAGATAGATAGATAGGTAGGTAGGTAGGTAGATAGGTAGGTAGGTAGATAGGTAGGTAGGTAGGTAGGTAGGCAGGCAGGCAGGCAGGTAGATATATAGATAGATAGATAAATACAGGCCGATCGATCGATTGCAATGAAAACTTTTTTCTCTTGGCAGCTTCTGCTAATGATGTGTATACACGATTATGCGTTTACCTCGACGCTGTTGTTGTATTCTTTGCATCGTGGTAGTGTCTGTTTCTTCGATTTGTCGCTTCCAAAGAAGCAACAATTTTTTCGTACTGAATGTGTATCATTTTCGTTATTCGTTATTTCGGTCGTACGTTTACCTAAGTTTCTTCATCCAAGTAGATCAGACGCTGATGCAATTCCTATTATTATTATTATTATTATTCTTTATTCTTTTTTTTCTTGTTTTTTAAATTATTGATCGATTCGCTCGATCAGAATATATTCTTCGTATTGTCGTTTAGTGCGTAGTTATGATTGAGATGATACCGTAATTCGTTGTATTATTCGCTTGTTTCGAAAGATTATTTTTATCTTCGTTTAACCTGTTTCGGAAATTTACGTAAACCGGTATTATTTGTATCTGGCACAAGTCGTTCGTTGGAAATGTTTGTTGCATTAGAATGTTGTCTTCTTTCTCTTACGTGTGTATGGCTGCGTGTACGAGTGCGAGTACGTGTCTACGTATTGACGATAAAGAACGATGCTGTTTTTTAATTTTTTCAACGAATTCTCCGACCAAACGAGACAAGTGTGTCCGTTTCCTTGAAATCGAGAAACACCAATGACAAAAGTTACGCCTGTTTGTAGTATCTTGTGCGAACATATGAGTCGTATAGTTCGAGTACGTTCTGTATCGGTCGCAAGATGAGAAAATTGGTGCGTGCATGTGCTTTGTTAGGTTTTGTACGTTTAGATCTGTTCGATGTGCAAACAATTTTACAGTTATTTCGTAATAGTAGGAGGAAAAAGGAAAAGTTTTATCGAAACTCGCGCCACTTCGAGCGTGTACGTGTAACGAGGATTGCGCATACACTAAGAATCTATAAAAAGAAATGGGAGAAGGAGATTTAAAAGTCAAATATACATTGTTGTGTACATAGTTCGTGCAATAGAAAGAAAGTGCGGGCGCACGCGTGCGTGCGTGCGTGTGTGTGTGTGTGAGAGAGAGAGAGAGAGAGAATCGATCGAAAGAAAAGTTACGATCTGCTAGCCGGTGTTATTAGTAATCGGTAGCATCGATAATAAAATTTTGATGGCTGTTGCTTGCTTCGGTGTACAAAGTACCGCTTACGCTTAAACTACCCTGCTGTTGTAATGTTGCGCCGCTTATTTAAACCTTGATTTGTTGAATTTTGTTCTAGCTGACAGTGCAGTAGGTTGTGTCGCTTAAAGTTCCCTCGCCAACCCCATACAGTTCGCTTTTCGCTTTACTACATTGGATAACTCTGTGCTAATACTACTACTGCTGTCTGTATAAAAAAAAAACAATGTGGTTAGTAAGATTTGGTTCTAGGTGAATCCCTTCTGTTGCATCGTTTTCTACTACATGCGTCGTATCGACGCATATATATATATACATATATACATACCATGAGCATCTGTCTCTCTCGTCCCATTTACCTTTTAACTTCCTCTGTTTCTCCTTGTTTACATCTATCACGCAACGCACATTCTGTCTTCGCCTATCCCTTTTTTTCTGAAATAATGTGTCAGTATATATATGTATATAAAAATACGTTACACACACGTAGGTGCAGTACAGACATACGTGATACGTATATTGTGTATATGTACATTATGTTGTTTTATATGTATATAACGTGCGTGACGTCTCACACACAATTATTACACTTACACGCGCGGGCACAGAGATTACATGTATGTATACTTGTGTACCTAGCTACCTGTAACGTGTACGGTGTTTTGTACATAATACGTGTATATATATATATATATATATATATATATATATATATATACATATATGTATATGTTTTAGCGAGTATAGAACGTTATTATACAGTAATAGGATTTAGTCGATCAGCCTCGTAGGAGGTTCTGACGATCGGTATGAAAGTCAAATCAGTTTTGCGTTGCATCGCGATATCGTTAGGGTTAGTTTCACGAATAGACGGTGTACGGATATTACGAAAGATAGAAAAAAGAAACCCGTGATATAGTAAGAGCATTATAGGATGGAAGGAAGGAAGGAAGGAAGGAAGGAAGAATTAATTAAAATGTGATTAAGGAGAAATGCGCGCGCGCGGGATGTGAAAAAAGTACGCGATTAACGAAATCGAAAGAAAGTAAAGAAAAGAAAAAAAAAGCGAGAGAAAAGTTACGCTTGGAGCGTAATAATTATCAGATGGGGTAACGTTTGGGTGTGTGTTATTTGGTCAGGCTGGACGTGGCCGTGGAGTAGTGCCGCGTGGCCGAGTCGGTGGTCCGCAAACCCGTGGGCCAGTCAGGGGGGGACGCAACCCCGCAACTTCAGGGGCCCGTGGGGTCCAGCGGCTGTCCGCTCGTGGGGGGGTCCGCGCCAAGGGAAGTTTACCAGGTGAGGATGGTCTGTATCTCCACAATTAAGTTAATCATCCTTTTACACTATTATTATATTTAGCCGCTTTTCTTATTCTTTTACCGCTTACACTACTATTTCTTTCTTTTTCGCGCTATCGTCATCATCCATATTGCACTTATCACACTTTTCGCTTTTTCCGTCGGTTTTCATTTCCCGTTCGATTTGCTCGCGGACGCGATCCCGAATCCAAATTCGAATCCGTTCAAGTTTCCAACATGGCGACATCCCGTAACGTCCATGTAATTGTTCTCCACGAATTCTTGTCCCTCGTTTCCATTTTTGCAACAACTTTCATCAAGCCTTCAGCTGTGATACGTCCCGCGGGTTATATACGACCCACGTCTTTATAATTAAATATTTCTTTTTTTCTTTTAACCGAAGGACAAAAGTATAATAGTAACGGTATTAGAAATAAAAAGTTTGATTCAAGTTAGGAGATGTTCGCACATGAGTGACAAATGAATGACTACATGCCATTCGCAGTTAAAGGTTTGATGACAACAAAGTTCTTTAGTGAAAATCGAAACATACCTATGCGCGACGGATAGGTCTGAATGTAGGATATGTCTGTTTTGTAAACGCTTATTGTTTACGCATTTGTTTAACCACGATTATTGTGCTGGACGAAAACTCTTTATATCAGTCACGATCGGTTATTATTTCGATTCTCATGAACAATCATACGTAGCTCGTAAATTGCAAATTTTGTCAACGAGTGTACACGATGAACATGCGATTGGATCTCTAAAACTTATTTTGTTCCATTCAGGTTTATATTTCTTAACTATTTTGCAATAATAATAAAGAATTTAACTCTGTAATAAATTATAAATGATTCATTCCGAGTATGATGCATCGCACGAATCATCTTGTATGCTAGACGAAGTCGGTATAGTATTTTAAATAGAGAATCGTGTACGTGGCCATTATCGGCATCCACACTCTTATACTCTATCCTTTCCAGATGTGTTTCTATCCTCGATTATTTGAGAAAGCGATCGATCGTTTACTCGATCACTCTCGCCAATAGTCGGTCCTCCATCGATCCGATCCAATCGTCGATTCTCCAACAATGTTTCCTTCCATCGAATTCGTTGTCCTTCCAATCGATATACGTATAGTTTTGTTTTCTTCTATCTTCTAATCTTAGTTGATCCTTTCGATCGTTGCGTTATTTTGTCGGTGAGCGAACGGGTCGTACACAATTGTGTTTAGTTATAGCAATTGGAATCGTTGTTCCAGTCTCGATACGGTTCTTTTTACTTTTTACGACAAGAACATAGAATCCACACAGTAACGCACGCACGAATTCCGCCTTTTCCAACCGTCAACCGACCGGTTAGGGCATACTTGATGGACTAAATACAGCGATTTTGTATAATTTTCTTTTTTTATAAATGCTGCCGATGGGCGTTAACGGACCATTCAAAATTCAGTTTTAAGCGAATTGCTATATTTGCTCCAACAATTATAATGTTCGCTCATTTAGGAGCGAGCCAGAACCGACGAGAACGAAGAAGATATTTGGTGGTGGAGGAGAGGTGTGATGAGAACGGTGCGGGCGGCATCGCGTGATCGTTAACGTGACGGGCGTTTTTATTTCTTTGTTTCTACAGCAGGTAAACGAAAATTTGACGGGGGTCACCAGAACCAGGGGGAATCTAAGCGTCGCTTCCAGAGCAACTGGGGAAACCAACCCCTCGCCCAACAACCACTGGGCAATGCGTACGGATTGGCGAGTGTGAATGGTGGTAGTGGTGGTGGTGGCGGTGACATTGGATTCGGAGGCAGAACCGCTACGCTCGGCGGCGTTTCCGACGAAGATCACGAATGGTATCAAGACTCATACCAGGCGTGGAGCTAACTTCTGCAAGTCTGTGAGTGAATACGCACGTACACAAGCACGCACGCATGCACGAACGAACGAACGAAATCAACGAAACAACAACCGGGACGGGAATCGAACGAACAAATACGTACGAGACGGAAGGGAATACAACAAATATCGAGAACGTTGCTGCGCAACAGAAGAGGCAGAGGATAGCGACAAGAAGGTGGAAGAGAGGTAATCGGGAAAATAAACACGAGGAAAGCGAACAATAATATAACGATGGGAGGGATAAATGAATAGAGAGATCGATGGGAGGGAATGGAAGTTGATTCGCTTTATACACATTATTTACTCTATCGATCTGATGATTGTAAATGTTTTCGTATATATTTAACAAAACCGCACGTACGAACGGAACACGAACGTAAAGAATTAATGCGCGTTAAAGCATCGTGCTCTCGGCGCCACCACCATCGCCCCGCTGTTGTTGTTGTGATTACGTATACAGTGATGTGCCACTGGGACTAATTATTACATCGGAGTGACCACCCAACAACCCACCCCGTACTATTATTATATATATATATACACATACATATATATATAATACGATAATACTAAGTACCGCTACTGCATTGTCACATTGTTTACTGCCAAGTGATACGAAGATCGGCGATGTTGACATCGGGATTGTGATGATGGATCGTATTAGTTAAGAGAATTCGCGAAAGCCTGCGGTTTTATTATGCGTCGATTCGATTTTTTGAGTCTGCGCGAAAAGGAGCGTGTACGCTTTCGAATAAGTCGAAGTAAAGAAAAATCGCGTTGTACGAAAGAGAGCGAGAATGAGCGCGAACGATTGAGAAACGGGGACTGAAACGAGCGTGTCGTTAAAGATCGTTCGTTGAGCAACAGCAGGTGTTTTCCCCTATTTTTGTGGACAAGTTAATGGGCGCGAATGAGATATTGCTATTCCGCCGGTACTATACCGACACGTTTGGATCAAATTTTTGCCGCAAGTTGAAGAAGGAAGAGGGAACAGGTGTGTACGTGTTAATGGATGCACGTGTGCGTTGTGTGTGTGTGTGTGTGTGTGTGTATGTATGTGTGTGTGTATGCGTGGAGCGCGCCAAGCGCCGCTAGACCTTCTATTGTTGGTCTATAATGTGTACAGTCAGTGAAACTATTATTATTATTATTAAGGGTCAAACAGGTTTTACGGATACGAAAAATGAAACGTTGTAAATCAAATTTCTTGGGAGTGTCTATGGAAAGTGTCTCACATTCGTTCGGTTATGGTAAAGGAAAGGAAGGAAGGAGGGTTTTATATATCGGGTATAATATGGAACAAGAGGAGAGAAAAAAATTAACGGTGAAATTAATCGGAATAGAAGCCCAATCGCGTAGGAAATTTTTCGATGACGGTTCCCAAGTAGCGAGAAAATTAGAAATCTAAATTATTAGTCTATTTATTATTTATGTCTATCTTTTTTTTCTTTTTTTTTTTCTTTTTTCTTTTTTCTTTTCTTGTTTTTTTAGTCCAAGGACGATAAAAGGACCGTTAAACACGGACGGACGTACAAGACGAATAGAGAAAAAGTTTAGCTTAATACGTTTCGTTTTTATTTTTGTCATAAATTTTACTGTCAAAATTTTTATGTCGCATTTTTGCGCGATTCCTGCACCACGTGCAACAATGTTTTTTAGGAACGACGATTGACTACCGAGTTTGATAATGATAGTCACGGATTGATTTAGGATGTGTAAAGTGTACGCAACGTTTACAAATGCATGAACACATACAGCACACATTTTGAGTGTTGACTCGTTGTTATTGTTAGCCTGTTAGTTAATTAGTAAGAGTTGTAAGTGCGGGCTGTAGTTGGTCCCTGTCCCTGGAGCCCAGACACCCCCCTGTTCTGGAGAATATTCGAAAAAAGGAAAACATAAGTAGAATCCAATACTATTTTACATGCACCCCCGAATTATGACGGAAACACAGAATCGGATAAACGACAAAAAATAAATAAATAAATAAAAAACAGAGGAAGAAAGATTATAATCCAGTTGTAATTGAGCGACTGCGCATATATCACCGTATCGTCTTATAGTACAGCATCGACGAAAGAACTCTACCGTGTATTTTGGCCCCATCGGACATTGCACATCAGTAGGTTCGAAATACGCAATTTCATACGGAAATAACGAAAGGAATGATAAGGAATTAAACGCGTAGGCAAGAAAGCACGATTCCCATACAATGAAAGTACGAATCGATCGATTCCCTTCGAACAAAAAGAAAAAAAAAAATTATCTCGATGCGGATCGATTGTTCGCGAACTCTCGTATTTATGAGCATTTTGTTACATTTTATTCACATTTTACTTAAGTCTAATTCTTCTTCGTCATCGATACTGTTTTGGTAACGATGATAGATAACTATATCTAGTAATATAACGAATGAAAACCCCTCAATTTTACTTCCTGTCCCCAGTCAATGCGACCATTGTTTAAAGGAGAATGGCGACGGAGAGCTTTAGAGAGAGGGAAACGGAGGGGCGAGGGAGAAAAAAGCCAACAGTCGAAAAGAAAGAAATTGATCATATCTATACCGATCAATATGATTACCTTTCATTCCTTTAGTCCCCCTCCCCCATAAACTCATTATTCACTTACCGTATTTTATACCTACCTACTCTACTTACCTACACACCCTATTTATAAAAAACATAATATTGAGGATATAATAATAATAATTAATATTAACGAATATAATAAGGATGATATTGCTAATCAATACTGAGTGGGTTTTTGTGACACGATAACGTTTCACTATAAATTCTGGTTTTCCTGCGAAATTATAATAAAGGAAGATTAATAAACATATGTAAGGCAGGCAGGCAGGCAGGTAGGCAGGCAGGCAGGCAGGCAGGCAGGCAGGCAGGCAGGCAGGCAGGCAGGCAGGCAGGTAGGAAGCAAGCAAAACAAGAAAGTAAGAAGGAAATAACGAACGGACGGACGAACGAACGAACGAACGATAAAAGAGTGTAAAAGTTCAGCTTGCGGGGGGCAAGGAAGCATAACTGGCAAAAGCGGAGGCAGTTCACGGTGACGAGACTTTAGACTGATCTAGGTACTAGCGTTACGATATTGGCCCTGCCCCAGCTTCGAGGCACCCCACAATATTATATCACTTACCCTTCGCTATTTTATACTTTGACCGGTGTGGCAGCTGGGGTGCCTGGGGGGTTATCGGTCGCATTTAGGATAATGCACCACTGTGGCTGACGATGCTGTAGCCGCAAGCGCGCCCTTTTACCCGGTCATTGCCCTAATTCGCGGCACACATCCTTGGGAACTTGACTCTTTTTGGTTGGCCCGTATCAGGCGGATGTTGTGTGATTTTTGGGTCGATCAATTTATGTTAATAACGACCCAAAGACGTGTTTTTTTTTAATTATATATAAATATATTATATATTATATTCCTGCGAATATGCATTTTGTGACGTGATGTTATTTAGCACTAATGAGGAAAACAAATTACAAAAATGAACTATTGTACGAGAAGAAAATGAAAAAAAAAAAAATATTGTACGTAACAACACTATTCACACGAACATATATACGGTTTATGTTTCTCGCGCCACATTGCCACGTGTCAGCTCCACGGCTAAAAACGAACGACAAATTCCTTACGACCAAATTCTTCTATCGTTAATAATTGCGTTTTCAAATTTTTCTTTTTAATTATTCACCTTCCAATTGCTTTGCTTTTTTTTTTTAATTCCCGCGATTTTAAAAGTTGCCTCTAATTTTAGTGTGACGTAGTTGAACGTAATGATTATTGATGAATTTAAAACAATGTTGAAATGGTTCCTTTTTCGGGCTAGGAGCTTGATTTAAAGTGTCAAAGATTTTTGTGTATGACCAGATGTATTCTACATGTCTCAATAAACAGTTGTATGTGAATTACCTTTCTTAACCGGTGCTACTTTTATTTTCTACCCTGAGCATTGTAAATCATTGAAATAGCGTTAATTAGAATAGTGTTTTCTTGTTATTGTTCACTCTGTTCCTCCTGTATCGATGGATAATAAAATATGTTTGTTTTAGCGAGTTAATCAAACTTTACTTATTTTTACTCCTTGGGTTTTTTTCTATCCGAATCTGTGCAGTTGAATATGAGAACAGCTAAAACGAATCGAATCGATCCTTCGTTTAAAATAAAAACAAAGAAATTAATTTTTTTATTTGAAACGATTGGACCGAACTCCTTTAATCCATTCATTTACATTTTACGTTCGAGTAAAATCTGAAGTATGTATGTCGAGTAAAATACAGAAAATTGCTAGAACGAACTTTAAATGAACAAAATTCAATGATATATATTTAATATTGCATTAATTATTATTTCTAGTTTCCGTAGTATTTTTGTCTGGTGTTGGAATCCTCCACCGCGGTCAGATACTCCCCCACCCTCGGACTGTACGACTCTGGCGACATCTGTTCCAACAGTAGGGCGTGTTGGGGTTGCCAGTATCTCCGTAGAAGCTGAAAGAGATTAGGGATTGCTTAACATTGTATCTATCGTACCGCTCTGCCACCCCTTTCTCCTTCTCACTTTTCCTCTCTCCCTCGCACACGCACACACACGCACACGCACACGCACACACACACGCACACATATACGCATAAGCAGGCACGTACATGCACATATAAATAATACACAGAGCCTTTTATTTTACTCTTATTCGTAAAGTAATTGTAACGATGGTGCTGTGTTGATTCGATTCCTGAGATACAAGGTTTATCCTCGGTACAGAACAAATCGTGTTGTGATGAGATCTGAAAGGATCGTTTAACGCGTCGAGGAACGGTCACTGTGCACCACGTATATTCTACGAGGAATTTAACTCTATTCGGTGGAGTTTGGTACTCGTGTAACCGTTAACGTTTACACGAGTACGAATATTTTTGTTTGTCGGTTGTTTAATTTGTGATTCCCGGAATTCGGTAAACATGATTCTGAGAAATTGCAGTGTACCGTAAAGCAAAGTGCCTACACATCGTATATTCGAGTGTAACGTTTGCAGCAGAAGACATTCGAGAATTCTTTTGACGGTATCGCGTACAATCGTGTACGCTGCAACTATATGTAAAACACTGTCAAGTATCGGATAATATTTAAACTCATCTCAGACTATTGTCCTTTCGAGGTATGTATTCATACACATATTTATCCACACATACTAATATGTATATATATATATATATATATATATATATGTATATATGTATATATGTATTTGCGAATAGAAAGCAGACGACACGGAGAGGTAGTAGTCCGTTTTGTGCAGTGCGAGAGGGTGGGTGACCCATCGGTACTCGCAACGTTCTCTATTCTCTTTTTCGAGAAGAGAACTTGGCGAGCGTGTGAATTGTTAAAAAAACAAAAAAAAAAATACGGGAATTTATTTGATAAGTAGGCCATTTGCGCGTTCAGGCAAAGAGGTTCACGCGTCGCATGTTAAATCGTAAAGCGCTCGTAATCGGAGGTGTGGCAAATCGCGCGTATTGTTCCCAAGTTTGTGATCGACGCGTCTTATTCATTTATGAACGAATCGTTGCGAATCGTCTCTATATTACTCTTTCTAGTTCTGTCATGACACTCGAACAAGCTCGGTTTTTTGTCGGTAGAGCAGAAATGTCGTCGTAGACGTCGAAAAAGACGTTCGTAGCGTTTCGTTCGTAGAAAAGGTTCTTTGTTTATCGTGTCGTCGTGGCATGCGTAGAAAAGTCAGGTTATTTTGTACGGGAGAAGGCCCGAAATCGACGTAGCGCGTGCACGCAGAGGGAGGTTAGTCTGTTAGTGCAGAAACCGACGTTTATCGTTGGCGGCGCTGCTATTGACCATCTTTCTATCCTTCTCCAAACTCAGGGGTGCGGTTCTAAACTCTACGAGTATTTTTTTCCCCTCTTTTACTCAAATCATAACTTCTGATCGTGTCCGGCGGTTCTTAACAAGGGTAACGATAGAAATGCATCGCGAACGTAACGATATTTAATTGAATTACGTAGAGTCCTGTAAGATGGGACGTTCACGGTTTGAGGGTGTGGCAAATTACGACGAACTGCACGTGTCTGTCACTTTATAACACTGTTTCCTTCCACGTTTGCGCGATATTTTAGGTGTACCTTTTTATATGGATCTATTTGTTCGCGAGTCCTCCTCGAACCATAAAAAAAACAGTATATGAACAAGGGGAATGTACGATACAACGATCGAAGACAATTTTATTCGCAAATGAAAGTATCGTTTTGAATTAGTTTCCGCGGTATTGTCAATGCGCTCGCGATACATTATTATCATTGTTATTAATTTTTAGTAACCAAACTATAATTTGTTGTGTCAATCGCGCATCGTTGATACAATTATTGTCCATGATCTTTCGACAAATTAATTTGGTTGTAAAGTGTAGCGTGGGTGGACTTGCAAGGATCTAACGATTGGAACGCGTATGTTTGCAGATGATCTTCAGGATCGATTTTTTGTGTTCTTCCTGTGCGTGGAATAGAGACTGACGATATGGTAAAGTCGCTGTTGTCACTATTTATATTTTATTAAAAAAAAAAAATTTTATCGTTAGATAGTCATCAGTTTTGATTGACGCCAATCGAGCGAAATGTAAATGAAATATGTATTCTTAGGATGCAGTATGGCTTCGGTACTCTGGCATGTTTCTGGAAATAGTTTCGTTTCTCCCGCCTTTATCTTGTTCCTGCTACTTTGTCCTCGCAACAGTACAGGTTAGTAAAGTGTATGTATATCGAATAAACCAGCGTTACTTGAACTTAAAATTAATTGTACATGTTCAAATTCAACTCCAATCTTACCTAATTTTAAATTACTTCTCAACTCTTAATCATATTCACCCTTTAATTTTTTTCACCGCCTGTTCCCTTCTCTCATCCAATACTACTTCTCCCCTTTTTCAACTTACTACCCCACTCCCCTTTCTGCTCCATTCTCGACCACTAATTTTTCCACACTTTACATCCCCTCGCATCCCTTTGTTAAGTGGTTTAATGTCGCCCGCGCACCTTCCTCTCACGTGTCCCCCATTTTCTACCCCTATTACCGCTTTTTAAACAACCTGATCTCGCACCTGATACGAGGATTGCAGATAATAAATTATAACTTTTTATTGGAACGAAACATTAGTCGTGACTAGCGATGGGATTCGAAGCACTTTGAATCGGTTTCAATCACCCGACGCTCGCGAATCTATCGAGATCATTAAGAAGTTTATACATTTTTTCAACAGCCCGTTCGCCTAAAAAATGTTACTGCGTGTAATTCCAGAGTGCGACCAGAAGTTTATAAGCACTCCGGATGGTCCACCGAATGGAACCTTCCACGCTCCGATGTTGATTAATCCCGATGGAGATTCCCGGCAGTGCGTGTACACGTTTTTCGCTGGTCCACGGCAGCGAGTCGAATTGTTTTTCACTTCGTTCGGTCTTCGTGGGACTCCGCCAGGGTGAGTTTTTACTCGTAAGTCTCACTCTGAAATCTCGGAATTATTTACTTACTTATGTTCGACAGTGGATCGGCTGTTGGAGAATTACCTGCGTAAGTGTTAACATACGTTACGTACATATATGTACCGGGTAAATCGTACAACTTATCCATCCATATTATTTTCGTTGTTAGCAGACCGAGCAAAATTCATTAAGAAGAATTATGTCGCTTGGTTAACAACAAAAATAATTTTGGTTGTACATGTTACGTGGTTCATTTTGTATATCGAGATAATGTAACTTGGTTTTCAGCTGTGTTCACGAATATATGGACTTGTACGCGGAAATACGGACGGAAAATACTACCAAGTTGATAGACACACCTTTCGGTGGACGTTTCTGCGGTCCGATTCCACCTCGCAGACGTGTTTCCCTTTATCAAGGAATCGCCCTTAGTTTCTACACTGATAAAAATATGACGTTACCTAGCCTATTCAGTGGTATCTACACGTTTATCAATGCCTGTACGTTGCTTTCTTTAGTTTTATAAACGAAATGAGGGGTCAACCGGGGGGCCATTTCACCCGTGCCTCACATCTCTATTCTTCCTCGCACCGAAAATGTTACTTATTATCGAAAACTAGCTCACTAGATTTTTAATTGTATATTCTAGAAGGGCTAGTGAGGGCTTTTCAAAGGTAAATGACTCGGCCCTCTTTTGATCTCTGAGAAGCTCTTGGTATGGTGGTGTATGGTTTGCATGACACGATGTCACGATATAAAATCGAGCTTTCAATGTTTGCAGCCGAATACGAGGTGGGAACGCCTGCTCCTAGCACGCCATGCTCTTTTACTGTAGACGCAGCGGTGAAAGGTAGCGGTAGCATATTATCTCCAACGTATCCGGGTGCATATCCGAAGGATCTCGTTTGTAGTTATCAGTTTATCGGTAAACGTAACCAAAGAGTACGCCTGGAATTTCGAGACTTTGACTTGTTCTTTGGAGGTCCACAGTACGTATAACGCACACATAACGCACACATAACGCTGGACTTGAAAAATACTTGTTTATTCGAAAGATGGGTACATACGAATGGCGGGTGGGGGTGGATGAAAAAAATTAACCGTGCGTTATTGTACAGATCTGTAACAGTATAGACAAGTACTTTTTTCCGAGCAAGTGTAATAAGCGAATCGTCTGCAAAACTCTCTCTCTCTCTCTCTGTTAACGCAATCCTGTGTCACAGCTGCCCCTTGGACTATGTGAAGGTGTACGACGGTTTGGATAACACGTCTGCCGTCATCGGAACGTATTGCGGCCAGCAGCGAAATTTAGTATTATATTCTTCGGAATCTAGTTTGTTTGTGCTATTCGTCACGTTGCAACGTACCGCGAACACGCAGAATCGTGGATTCAAGGGAATCTTTGAATTCTCGGAGGGTTTCGTGAAATTAGGTGAGTCGAAATTAGGTTTGCGTCGAAAGTAGTTGCATTACTCTGGTCACTTTAATGTCTACCCAGACTTTATAACCGCTGACAATGGGGAGCACATCCGTGGATCGGAATGCGATCAGAAGATTTTGAGTAAAAAGGAGTCGTTTGGATACGTGGTTAGCCCGAACTATCCATTTCCATACATACCGAAGGTTGTGTGTCGGTATTTTGTTTACGGGATGCAAGACGCGCAACATCTCGAGCGCGTTCGATTAGAATTCATGACGTTCGACGTACCAAAAAATAAGACGTCGGAAGAGTAAGTGCGGCTAGAATTTTCAATCGTACGGAATCGCTTTTAATCATAAAAAGACTAATGTTATTGACGTTACGCTTTTCACTTTTGCTTGTCGTCCAGCTCGTCGTGCACCGACGGATACTTGAAATTATATTTAAAAGGACAAGAAGCGACGGATTCGTACGACAAATTCGATCATGAACTGTGCGGTTCGACGAGCAATCCGACCCACGTAGTTAGCGATGGACCGAGACTCGTTATGGTGTTTAGTAGCGGCGAGTCGCAAGGCCAGGGTTTCCAAGCACGGTGAGAACGAAAGAAACGAAAAGAATTTGCCGACGAATTTGGTGGAGAATCGTCAGACTGACAATTTCCACCGTTCCATCGAAGAACGTAGTGTGTGTGTGTGTGTGTAATGTAATATAGAGCGGGTTTTCTTTTCTTTTCTTTTCTTTTGTTCTACAGATACAGTTTCGAGACGGAGTATAAAATACCAGGCACCGCGTCACCCGATGGTAGTTGTACATTCACTTACCGCAGTTCCTCTCGCAAGAAGGGAGACTTTAATTCGCCACGACATCCTAGCAACTATCCTAGCGATACGAATTGCACCTATTACTTTTTGGCGACACCGAACGAACAAGTTACCTTGATATTCGATAATTTTAAAGTTCGAACGACAAACATGAACGTGACAGGCGGTCATTACGGGTAAGCAACAGGGTGTTTGGGAATAACTTTGCGAATCAAGATGTTTTCATCATGTACCATATGTAAATGCACTCACTATTCGCCTCGTCGCTTGTGTTTCTAGGCTTGACATTTGTCAAGACGATTGGTTGGAGATATACAACATGTATCGGGACAAGACGGAGAAATTAATAGGCAGATATTGTGGGACTACAGCCCCGGGTCCAGTGGAATCGAATCTAGGCGCTCTCGGTTTAAAGGTGATCCTGCACTCGGATTCCGAGCTCGTTTACAGCGGTTTCAAAGCTCGCTACACGTTCGAGGTGGCCAAACCCATATTCGGAGGTATCGATGCAAAGGGCCTTATTAAAAGTCGATAAAACCGATTCGTTCATTACCTCTTTTTTCCATGGTTTTTACGTTACAGATTGCGGATCGAACATAAGTAGTTTAAATTACGGAGTGATCGCCAGTCCAAATTTTCCGAACAAATACGATAGACCGGCGAAAAACCACGCTAGCAAGACTTGTAATTGGTTTATAAGGGTGCGACCGAATCAGCGAATACTGTTGAACTTCATGCTATTTTCCGTGGAGGGTGATCAAACAGGTATATATATATATATGTATATTGTTAGCATATGTACGAGAGTCTATATATAACCAAGGTCTTCGATCCTATTAAATAAGGGATATTTGAGATACGGGAAATTAATGAAACTGATGCGAAAATAAAGTAAATTCTTATTTTTCTGCATAATCGTTTGATTTGTAAATAATTAAATTTAGAACAGAATTATTTTAACCATGTGTATCCCTCAGAGGCATTCTTCTCGACTGCCCAGTGACAATATATACGATAAAAGAGACATTGTTATTTCTTCAGCTCGTGGTTGTCCAGCTGCAGTCCTGCGCATGTGGTATTCCGCTTTGTCAACGCCTGTCGAGCTCTGTGGCGTTAAAATGTCGGACAAAGAATGGACTTATCTCTCCGAAGATAATAACATGCGTCTTAGGTTCGTTGTACGCTCCTACCTCTCGTCCCTCGACTAACCCTGTCCCTACGCTCCACGTTCTTTCTTACGCGTTAAAAGAGTTACTTGTCGCACAGCCGAAGAGAACGTATTGATCACCTTTGTTGCTTTTTCTTTCTCGTCTTCTTTCAGCTTTATATTGGCCGACAAAGCGGTTGGACAACAAGGTTTCAATGCTACGTGGACCGAAGTAAGCACGAACAGTGACTGCCAGAATCAATTTGTCTGCAGTAAAAATAAATACTGCATTGCAGAATCGCTTCGGTGTAATAACATTTATAATTGCGGCCAGGCTGATACTTCGGACGAGGAAAACTGTAAGTTTCGTAAACGTTAGAAACACCGAGAACGACTCCTTATAAGCAGTGTGGTTGGTTTCTTCTTCTTCTTCTTCTTCTTCTTCTTCTCCTCCTGTTTCTTATTTTACTTTGCTTTTACGACTGTTATATATATATATATATATATATATGTATATATATATGTATATATATGTATATCTCTTTCCGCTATAGACTATACTCCGGTCCAATGAGTATGTAATTCCTTCGGATCGTTCAATAGACACTGTGTTCTACAAATTCTCCAAGCGTATTCTCTCTTTGTATTATAACACCTTAAATAATCGATCCTTTACATGTATACGTATACACATATACGTGTACATATACATATACGCACGCATATACATATACGCGAGTGTGTATGTATGTATGCATGTACGATGTATGTAAATACATAAAACGCGAGAGAATCGAACCGGGTACCGGACGCCGTAAATACAGATGCGGAAATCGAAGAAATTTTAGAAATTAAATTTTTCAAATACTTGGGCGTTTTAATTGGCGTTTGAGAAAGGAACGGCGTGCGACAAGATTTCACGCTTTCCTTTCCATCTTTTTCCATTCGATCGTGACAACGACCGTAACTGTTTGAAATACATTCGCCGCCGCGGACGGTGATTTCTGAATTATTTCAATGGAGAAGAAAACAAACACGTCGTACTTGCTAAACAAAATTCGTAAATATTGCACGGAGCATGTATCGTCGAGTTCGTTTTACTCGAAATCGTCAAACATACTTTAACAAAATGTATTCCCTGCTCGATGTGCGACGACTTTGCTCGCACACGTTCGCCGGAACATAGTACAACCAAGAACGCGCATACGATGCGTTCGTTAAGATAGTCGCTAAATAGTATAGGTGACGATATTTGATATTCGATTCGAAGAAACGAAAATGAGAGAGTAATAACAAGTACTCGAGGACAAAATATGTACAGAATTGTAATTTTCTAGGTAAGTAGTTATGTAGTTGTATGTACAGATGAGAGAACGAAAGGATCGAGTGGGTGAATGACTGTGTGTGGTGTCGCAGGTGCAGCATCAGCCCCATTGTCGCCAGCACTGGCTGGAGTCTCTGCCATGCTTCTTCTCTCTCTGTGCTTTGTGTTCGTGGCCATCTGAGCCCTTCATGAAGCTTCCGACGATCCGGCATGTTATGATCTCCCCTATCACGTGAGTTCACTCACAGTATTGCACAAGTACCGTGTTTTAGTTTTTAACAAGTCACCTATAATTATTACGCCTCTCTGATAAATAACCTTGAAGAAATACAGTATTTCTCCGATAACTGAAACCAAGTCGGGACAGCAACATGATTTCGTTTCAGTTATCCGAGCATTATTGTACCACTCATATTCTTAGGAATATGACGAACGATATCGTACCGATTATCGTTAATCATATTATTGACGCAAAACTCATTTACTCGAAAGTCGAAATTGCGGAGGCAATACTTTGAAATTAATTAATTAACAGTCACACGTACCCGGATTACGAATGTTTACAAATTTAAGTTTGATCGGTTTCATTATTGGTTTCACCTTTGAAGCTCGCGCATGATTACGGTGAATGCAAGTTCTCTTCGTATATCATAGCATGTAAATTCTCTCTATCTCTCTTTTATACACAACTACACACATGTAATCGTCTTTTTCTCTGCATCCGGCAACTCCCAGTTTCCGTTTTTCCCTTCGAGTTTCGATCAACGTCGAGTCAAGATATGCGGAATTGTAAATAAACGTCGCGCCAGATCTATAGATAACAAGCTCCCTCTTATTATCGTCTATTACGGTATAATGCGAATATTTTCCATTCCCGTATAAGACTCTGTTCACTAGTGGTATCATATCGTCGATATTGAACAAGAAAACGAACATCCTGGATCCCGCATCGTGTGTTTGTTAGAAAATAATTCGAGAATGGCCCGTAGCTGCGCTTTAAAATTGCCACCAGTATTAATGCAGAATGCTCGAAATCGAGAGGATTCGAAATCTGAAAGGAGGGAAAAACGACAGCGATCGTTCTGATGGGGGTTGGGGGTCGGAAGAAAGGCTTTCACCTGACCGATTGGATATTCGTTTGAATCTGGAGCTGAAAGAGACGAAATGCATTTCAGGTAACACGGCCGTGGTACGAACAGATAGCTACGGCGAAGTCGCGGGGTACGCCGCAGGCGCCGTGCTGGTGGCTCTGGCAGTTTGCCTCTTCTACCATCGAAAGCTCAAGAGACGGGTGCAGACAGTGCACCTGGACGACTTGCGTCAACGCGTAGACGAAACCCATCGATGTTATCGTCACGAGAATCTCCTTCACCATCATCGCCATCATCATCATCATCATCACCATCAACATCAGCATTATCAGCATCATCATCAGCATCAGCATCATCAACAGCAGCAGCAGCAGCAGCAGCAGCAGCAGCAGCAGCAACAACAACAGCATCATCATTATCAGGATCAAACGGACGAGTTTAATCCGAGATATCAGCTGGAAGCATCGGCCAGTCCAGCCAGCGAGAGCGAAACGGAGCAGGCGTGCGTCGAGGAGGCGAGTAGTCTCGACAGTGTGTGACACCGTGTGCTCGCTTATGCGAAACTGTTCGTTGCTGTCCGTTGTTGGCTCAACTCTTTCTACTGACTTACCGTTTTCACGATGATAACGTCCTAGACACTGTCGAACACCGGACACCGGGCACCAGACGCGACGACACGATCGCCATCGTCGATGCCAGTTGCCGTGCAGAACACTCTACGAATTCGCTTGGATTTCCGCCGCTCTGAAATAAGAACATGGATCATGGTGATGGGATTAGTGCGCCGTGTCGGTACTATTGATGCTAGATAGTAAAGTAACATTTTGTATCAAACCGTTTTGATACCTACACGAAAGTATCGATTATACGCAGCACGTACTTGATACGGTAATGCACGATTAACATTCATAAGATTTCAGACTCAGCAGTGAAAGTTTCGTGAGTAGGATAGCGTATTTTTTGTAGAACCGAACTCCAACATTGCTTGACAAAGAAACAGAATGATTGTAACAGGAGGAAACGAAATGGATATGTCAAACGGCGACAGACGAGACGTTTTTCAACGCTTCAAAAAGATGCCGCTATGATAAAAAAAAAAACATAATCACGCAATGTATAAAATTTTACTTTCTCCAGTTTTCGTATTATCATCCGAAAAATGGTACTAATGCATTCTTCTCACTAAAATGATGAGTCCAAACACGACATAAATCAGACTACTTTTAATTGCTTTGATATATGCAATAACACATAATATGTACAATGACTGCTCATAATTAAAACTTTATACGATTTAATAATTTAGTTTTTGTTCTTCGCTACACCTTGAATAGAAGTTTTTCTATTTAAATTTCTATAAACATAAAGCCTTTTATTCTTTATGTAATACCTTAAACTATACATACGTGATATAATTTAAAGAGACGACTCTGACGAATTTCATAACATTTCTTACCATAGAACGGTGGCGAATTAAAAGTGCAGTGAAAATATGTTGTGCTTACATTATGTTAATATTAAAACCTAAATACTATACAGAGTGTTCGGTCATCCCTGGGAAAAATTTTAGTAGCCCATTTTTCTGGGGCTCCACAGCTCCATTAATACGCATCGTTTGAATTTTCAATCATTAAAATCCTTCGATCCGTCCAGAAGTTACGATTTTTTTTACACACACGCATGAAATTTCGGGAAAACATTTCTGGCCACACGGTATAGTTTCGGTAAGGAATTTTTTTTTTTCTCAAAAATACGTAAAAATTCAGGGGTATGTCTAATCACCAAAAATGATTGTAATTGACCCCTGCATCAAACATAATTTTTTTAGGACGATTTAAAATTTTTTAATTTAATTTTTGAATGACTTTTTAGCGAAACCTCGATCAAAAGATTGATATTCTTGATTTTCGTCTTATCTTGGCCTTTAGAATCTCCCATTAAAATTTTTCCTAAGGATGTCCGAACACCCTGTATATCAATTTGTGAAGTGAAATTTAAATGATTTTTCAAAAATATCGAACAGTGAAAGAAACATATACATATGTATGTTACAATAGTTAAAAATAATCTAATTCATGTGGTGTTTGGACTTGTTTTAATCAGAAGAAACGCCAAAAAACATTGGTATCGTTTTCAAAAAGGTAAGATAAAAAATACGAAATGTAAAATTTCTCTTATTGCATGATTATTAATCTTCTTACGGCATCTTCTTGTACTACGTGTCTCATTTCTTTTCGTTCTACCGATTCTCTTTCCGTTTCTACTGAACCAGATTTCGTTAAACTCAACATGCTGAGTAGAAGGGATTGAGGGGAGGAATGAATCGTGGAAAATTAATCGCGAAGCTTTTAGTCAAAGATAACCGTGCATTATTGTGTCGATCGGTATTAATTCCAAAAGCATCGGTATTGAAACTCGATACCATGTGCTTAAAATCTCAATAACTTTCGACATTTCCCATTAAGTGCTATGGTATTGAATTGCTTGAATATTATTAATGTGTATAATATCAGTACCGTCATTAATGTGGATGCACTGTCGTGTATCATCAAGTATCGTGCATCCTTGTAACAATAGTAGTATGGATTTTGTTAAATTATTCGTGTTTGATTCATATGGGGCAAATGATATATATGTATATATATATATTTTTTTTTTTTTCATTGATGCGTTTGTTTCACGTACAAGTCTGTAGTTTCTGAACAAAATATTGAATCGCACCTAAGCGATAGTAGTCTGCGAGTGTATGTATGCGTAATATACGTACATGGTAGCAGTTGTGTCGTATAGACATTCTGTAATATTACGTACAAGTTTTGTATACGCGCGTTCAACGCGTGTAACCTGTGCACACGCACGAATGTAGACATAATTTAAAAGTGGTGTGAGAATTAGTGAATTTCTACACGGTAACTTGTAGGTTTCAATGTCGGAATATTAATTTTGACCGAAGAGCAGGGATGGGCAAAACGAATTTCAAATAGTATTCGAACGACGAATAATTAATTTATAAGATTGTACTCGATTAGCTACCCAACTACAGAAAACTTTTATGCAGTTTTTGTTTCTTCTAAGCACTAAATACATATGTATGTTCAATATTTTAATTGCATTTAAATTGCAAATGATTCGAGCATGCCCATCCCTGTGGAAGATGTCGCTTTGCCCATTTTTTGGTCAAAGCGGAAGTTGGAAAGCGTCGGGTAATCAGCGTAATTGTGATCAACGACATCTCGAAACTCTTGTTCCTTCGAAAGAACGCGAGATATATTTTTACGCCGAGTTAATTGGATTCGTTGATGATGATGTTGTTGTTGTTGTTGTTGTTGTTATCGCTGTTACTGTTGCGTAGCCAATGCCGTTACATTTCACTCGAATCCCAAATCCTACTGGCACCATACATCGCTTTCATGTAACTCTGTTTTCCAATACTTGAAGTTTGTACATGTAGTTACGTATCGTTATTATTTTAGTAGTTAACAATCCGTTCACACGACATCCCTTTAAGACATGTGTGAGAGCCGAACATGTGGCGAAAATGTAAAAAGGTGTAAACGCTGTTTTCAAATATTATCGTATCGCGTGAACGGACTGTAACGATATTAATATTTTATCGAGTTTCATTACACGTCCAAGAAAACCGTGTTAGTCGAAGGCATGTAATTTTATGGTTTCGATTTTCGCCTAGCCTCTGTTTGGTTTTATATGCTACGTATACGTCTTGAAGAAAGATGTGCGCGCACTACGTAACTTGTACGCGATACACTTTGTACACGTAGATGTAATGCTTTTTTACCGCGAAAAAAAAAAGAACAGTTACACCGTAACGTAACACCGTTTTCTACGCTTAAACTCGAAAGAAGTACCGAATACGATCCATCCATGCGCAACAGGTAGTCGTTTGAGGATACGAACGCGTAATTATCTTTGTGTGTTAGGTGGGAATCGTACGATCGTTTTCTAACGCGATGTATATCCGTGTACAAACGAATATACGCATTCCAGCCAGTGTTGATAGACGGGCCCACATTTTTTGGTGCACGTACGCGTAAAAAATTATGTCGATAAAGTGTTCGAATTTAATGAAAAGGGATGTTTGTAGTTCCCTTGGTTGGCTGTTTCTACAAACAGCCGAAGGTAAGATGAAGCGAGACACATGCTACATATTGGGAGATAAGATGTTGAGACCAGTGTAGCCAGAAAAAGAAGCGAAATCCTATTTTTGAGGGGTAGGAGAAAGCAGCATGATGTTGGGGCCTTCTTCTCTAGATATGTACATAAGTACAATGTACCTCGCCTCGTGTCAAGTGGTGGGGGAACCAACGAGCCGATAAGAACGCTCGTTGCTTCTCCCACTAGTTCGCACGGCGCATGCTGCTTTACTCTGCTCCTCAAAATTCGATGTAGTTTCATTTTTCTAGTCACACTGTTCGAAATAAAAGTTCGTCATAACTGTTTCAAGAGCTTAAATCTATGAAAGTTTACAAACGTTGTTTTTAACGCTCGTGTGACGCCGGCTTTACCCTGTTCGGTTGCGTTCTTCGTTACGCGATGAACAAAAGGCGCGATCGACTTGGCCAATAATAACCAAGAACCGTGGACCAAGAAAAGTGGAAGGGATCAGGTATAGCGGGCAGCCGGCAGTCCCCTTACCCTTTGCTTCGGTTAGTTCGTCGGTAGTGGTTCGACTTCTCGTCTCCCAATAGTAAGTACTTAATATCCATGTAAATACAATTATGAAATGTTAAATAATTTACATAAAATATTAATATATGGATAAGCTACAATGAGGAAGGATGTTGAAATAACTTTAGACGAAACGTCAGTTTTATGTAACTCGAAAGAATAATTGTATTTGACAGAAATTATAGAGAATACATTTAAAAACTAATTTTATTCGATCTACTTGTTGGGTTGGGAACCGCCAAAATATTGGCGGCCATAACGTTGGCTACATATGTGTGTCGCGCATGTGCCGAAAACCCAGCCCGTCTACCAACACTGAATTCCAACCCCTCTGTCGCCATTCATCGAACATAATTTCTATTTAAACAAATTGACGATCATTTGTAGACAGATATTTTAATTACGCACGTTGTTTGTGAATACACCGGTATAATACTCGTGCGAATGTGTATGCTTAGACCGTAAATGCTGCCATTTAAAATTGTAATCGCGTCAACGAGTGCGTCGAGTTACATGAAATTACCTTCCGAATATAAATTTAAAAATACTAGTGTCGTGCACCTAGTCGAAAGAAAGAAAATAAGGAATAAGACAACACGAATATCGTTTGTGCGAGACAAGCAAATTTGTGTAGGTATTAGTACGGTGATGTTTGAACGATTTCAAAATAGGATCACGTTTCCGGTACGTCTGTAAAAAGAAAGGGTGAACAGTCGCAAAGTGTAGTTGGACGCTCATACAAAACGTACAGCGTGATTACACTTTTGTGTCGTAGTTAACGTTAATTCGATAAAAAATAATCGAAAAATGACACACACGGCACACTTTGTAGAACGTTTAAAAACTGCGTTTTCCAATGAATAGCTAAAGCATCGCACAAAATTGTATATTTCAGGTTTTACCGCACCAAACGGATAACTGTACTTGTACGGAAACGTGTAATTCAGAATTGATCGACGTAGTAGCGTGGTGTAGCAATTTGAACAAATCTTCGTAGCGTGTATTTATGACATTCAATAGGCGATATGCATGTGATTGCGGTTCTAGTTCCGGTTATTCGATACAATCGAGAATCAGGGATGGGCAAAATATATTTAAAAAAGTACTTGACCGACGAGTACTAATTTGTAGTACCAAACGATTCAACGGAACCTTTATTTTCTATAACTGTTACGAAGAACCGAAATAAATTCATAAATTTCATTATAAAATCGTTTAAACGTGTCCATCCCTGTCAAGAATACATGAGTTTCAAATCGAGCATTTTGAGCAATTAAAAAGATTGGCAAAGTGATTCCCTTTAGATCGCACACTACGTTACAATAAACGTGTTATCCATCGTAATAGCGTGGGTATGCATTTGTTATCGAGCACGCTGTACGTGATAGTTTAAGTTTCATATTTTTAATCCGATACAATATTTTGGATCAGGTTTTCACCATTTACTGGTTTCAAGTATTTGTAGAAATACTTCCGATCCGATCGAGACGCGCAGACAAAAAAACCATACCTCGAGAAAGAACCGGCTAAAAGCCGTAAAATACACCTCCGGTTGAAGGAGAATTAGGATTATGTAGAGTAGAAAGCAATACGCAAATTTCTCAACGAAATACGAACATGTGACTTCCCTATGTGCGTGTGTGTGTGTTTTTAACATCTTTGTTACCGCATACTAGGAGAACGTGTACTTACGTACCTAC